TTATCTTCATTAGACGGAGTCTAGGATCACGATCCTTCTTGGCTAGTCTCGTCACATGCTGAGTCAGTATGTTTTTGAGTCTCAAGGACTGTTTGATGAATTTCAATTCCCTGATGTAAGAGTTTGAATGAGTAGGGCCCGTATTTTCCGGTATACCTTGCACAATTATGTTTCTCCGTCGGATAAACTTCTCGCGAGATTCTTTAGGGATGTTCCGCATGATATCGCGCTCAGAGTACGGTATGTCGGGCAATATCCTTACGTTACCATCGGATTTCAGCAAGTGACTTGCTAGCAAGTGTTACTCGAAGAAGCCTCGGGTGATTTAGATGCTTAGAATCCTTTCCTCGAGTGAGCCGGGTGACCGTCAAAGGCTCTATTCTAGGAAGTTCGAGCTTCTTGTTCAGTTCACTCCAGGGCATCCTATCATTTTTATCCTGCAGACTGAGAGGAAGGTTAGGATTGTCAATGAGGCTCATGATTATGAGAGAATCGTCACGAACTGTTGTTAATTTACCAGGTTTTCCGATGGGTTCAGCTTTAATACCTTGTTGTTTGGAGGTAAAGGCACGTTTTTGAATCTTGGGCTCTTTGATGACCTGACGAACATTCTTTGTGGTAGACTGTGCGACCAAATCACCAGTTGTTTTCCGTACAACGACATTTGGGATGCTCAGCTTAGGTGGTAACACCTGGTTCTTTTGGGCCCTGCTAAGGTGGGTAGAATCACTTACAGGGTTTTCGGGAACCACTGTTGTATTCAGAGACCCTGAGCTGGGAGACCCGAGTTCACTTAGGGAGTCTAATACCATCGACGTAATGATGGTTCTGAGCTTCAACACGTCATCGTTAGTGCTAATGGATGCTCCATCGATGGTATACCCATCGACATCCCTAATCTTGTGCTCATCGTGCGCTCTTGTTTGTTTACCCGTTTTTTTACTGTCGTTATTCAAGTTTGCTGACAAATTGTTCCACAGACCTGACAGTAGGACGATGATGTTACTCAGCAAGACTACAGCGGCCGTGCTGCACGTGATACATACCCAATTTTGGTCCGACTTGCTGAGTCAGTTGTAAGCAGTTGCCGTCGGAGCTGTGCACGCTTTGTGGAACCAACCTTTGCAGTTGTCGCACTGCATGCCAGTTGTAACAGCAAAACGGCATCTCGGACGTTTGCATGAGTTTTTCATGACTATGTTGAAGCAAACTGTGTAATAGATGCTTACAAAAGCCTAAGACCGTAAAAATACTAAAAAGCACATTGAAAACGGACAAAAATGGATAAAAACGAGTGAGATAAACTGAATTAGTCTTTACGTGAAAAACAAAAAAACCGAATAGTAAGCTGAGGCGAAACCACAGTTAACTATTAAATATGGTGAGACTAAAAAAAGTAATCTACCGAACGTATAGCTCAGGATAGATTCTTTAGAACTGAAATGGTACTTTTGTTGCGTAAGAGCACAGCAAAAGTTTGATAAATGCAAATCACGTTAGGACTAAACTTCCTGTTCGAAAAGCGCGCGTTTACTAATCAAATAATTTGTTCTGTGAGTCTTTTCCGTTGATTCTGACTTAATTAACTTTACTATAAATACCTACCCGAGTGTTCTCGGTCACACATTTTCACCAGATCATTAGTGAGTACGCCGTGCTACTCATCCTTTACGACCGTTAACCAGCTAAGACAGAATGCTTTTCGACATATAGATAGCTTTCCGAACATACTTACGGCCATCTCTGTTTCGACTTCTGATTTGATCTGATTGACATACTTTTAATATGAAGGTGTTACATGCAAATGCATTGTGGTGGGCATGAATTTGGAAACTGTGAGTCCGTTCGCTGACAGATGATCAGTCTCCATTCGAGGATATCCATTTCCGCGTACCAGTGTGCAGCGGTTACTATGATTCGGCAAGTACTAACGCTACCACATACAAGACTTTTGGGGAAACGAGGATGCTCCCTTAGTAGCCATACAGAAGAAAACCACATGATCATGATGAAGGATCTTGAACACTCTTATGGCTACAACAGTGGAGGAGATTAAAAGTGAATGACCACTGGGAGGTGGTGGAGGATGTCACTTTGGGTGCGGTCTAAAACAATCTACCCCATGGTAAGCACGCACCCAGAAAGCAAAGACCCTGGATCAAGAGAAGTACGAAACACCTAATACGGGTCGCGACTCTTACTTAGCACTAAGAAATAGAAGCACTGTCAAAGTCCACAGAGAAAGATGTTTTGAGGCTAAACTCACTCCAAATATCTTCACAAACCAAGGGATCTGCAACCAAGGGAGCAGTTTCCGAAGATCATTAACAGGGATAAAGAAGCCTACGTTGTCAACTCTGTAGTCCAAATAAACTTGCAGCCTGAAGGTGCGAAACTCCTCTCAACCCTAGTGCCACTTGATGGTTTGAGAAAAATCCAACCAACTCTCGGTCTAGTATTATAGAAATCCCAGCATCCAGGAAAGTCACCAGTATTTGATAACACCCAGCCTGAAATCCTGAAACAGTCTGTGGAGGCTATCAGAATACCAATGTGTGAGATTTTCAGGCATTCACTAGATTCACGCCAACTTGCAAGAGAATAGAGACAAACAGATCTCTCTTCAGCCTTCAAAGGTGATCACAGATAAACCTAGCCTGTTGCAGACCAGTCGTATGACTTCCAGTACTGTCAAAAGTAACAGAAGGATTGGTCAACAAACAGATGAGGCAATGTATGGATAAAAACAGCATTCTCTATTAGGTTTAACACGGGTTCAGGAAAAAAATCATGTAGGTTCAATCTACTAGTAACATGAGAACGCTAGACCACTCTTGTACTCGATTTTTATCAATAACCTGTTAGATGAAATTAGTTCTGTGGCACTGACCTATGCAGATGATGCAAGAAACTGGGGGTTCACAAGAAGTCAAAAAGATCCACTTGAGCTTCTAAAGGACCACACTACAATAGAAGAGTGAACAGTAGACAACGGGTTAAAATTTAACTTGTCGAAATGTCATATCATGAACATTCTGCCCCATTTGGCACAAAGCACTTAAAGCCTACTTGGAAGTCCGTTTTAGATTGTCTCCTTAGAGAGTGATCTCTGGATTGTAACTACCGAGAGCTTAGACAACGGTCCGAATTGCACAGAGGATGCAGACAAGTCAGACGCAGCTCTCCAGTTCATGTGTAGACAATTTGGGGCAACCACCTCAGGGTTGTTCCCAACACTGCTGAAAACATATGCAATCTCACCTCGAAGTCCGCAATATCATCGCCTACACTCTTTAAAAAGAGAGGTGTAAATCTCTTAAACCAAGCACAGAGGCGGGCAACCAAGTGAGTGATAGATCCATATCCTAAAGGAAAGACTTCAACACATGGGATTACTCTTGTTGAGCTACAGGAGACGAAAGGGAGATCTGACAATAGCATACAACATATTATGTACGCCAAGCCATCCGAGCACGAGATATTACCAAAACATCATCGCCACATTCCTTGAGAAAACCCTCGAAAGATTGCACATCAAATAGCAAATACACGCATACGCCTTCATTTATTCTCACTCAGAGTTGCCTCTATTTGAAACACCCTCCCAGCCTAAGTGACCACAGTCCTTCTTTGAGTAGCTTCAAGAGGAGAATCGAAAAACACGTACTCACCCATGGATCACCATTCCCCTCTTAGATCAGAGGCACCACTCCTCTCTCAATACCAGGAAAAGTTTTCAGCGGGGTTTCGCTAAAGTGAATGAAGGACACCGCAGATCCCCGAATTCGAGAGCAACAGGCCTGATTCCGTAAGGATCGATCGTGTATGGACCAAATCGCAACACTGTGGATCATTTTGGAACAGTTATTTGAGTGGGATTCATCACTCTACTTAAATTTCATTGAACACGAGAAAGCATTTGATAGCGAGGAATGGACAACACTTTGAAGGCTTCTTCGACACTATGGCGAGACTGAAAAGATAGTCAATATCATACGGCATTCCCATGATGGATTTGTAGAATTATAGTCTACTTCGTCATGAGTACCGCTCTAATAATAGACCGAATCCTAAAATGGTAGATTTGTCATTGATATAACTGCCCGATCTATAAGATCTTACATGGAAGCCACATCATCGTCTACACCAACTCATTGCACCGTAACAACCACTAATACATGATGGAGAAAAAGCTCAGGCTAGAGATAGAACAATATCCTTAATACGAATAAAAAATAACATTCAACAGGGACTACGCCTACAAGGCCGAGCTGTACCATCCGATCAATTCGAATTAATTCAATTCATTGTTCCCATCTTCTCCATCGTTAGGTTTTTCTCTGCCTTAAATGTTGAACATCTATTTTCCTAAGTGTTTTCTGTTTAGCTTTGAGGATTGTGTGATTGGAACCCAATGGCACCACAGATTCCACTGCGAAATGGCGCGTAAAGGACAGCTGACAGACTCGTTCGAAGTAAAAACCGGAGTCAGACAAGGTTTCATACTCTTATTCTTTCTCTTTTTCCTGGTGATCGACTATATAACGAAGATGTCAGCATCTGGAGGGAAGCATGGGATATAATAGACGGCTAAGATACAGCCGGACGATCTAGACTTCGCAGATGATCTGGCTCTTCTATCGCACACGCGACAATAAATGCAGGAGAAAACGACCAGTGTAGCAGAAGTAGGTCTCAACGTACACAAAAAGAAAACAAATATTCTCCGATACAATACAACATGCACCAATCAAATCATAATTGACGGAGAAGCCTTGGAAGGTGTAAAAACCCTCACATATCTGTACAGCATCATTGATGAACTCTTTGGATCCCATGCAGATATGAAGGTGTGGATCGGTGAAGCAAGATCAGCATATTTACAACTGAAGAACATCTGGCTACCACAGTTGAATACTGACGAATACATGGAACTGAACCGAAACAATAATAAAAAGGCACAATGAACTCAATTAATTAGCAGATTGTGGGAAAGATATTGGGAATTGAAGTTTGGAGCGCTAGTTGCAATATGTGTGCTACACGATCTGCTGTTCGTGAATCTGATTCAGACTCGAGGGATTTCAGAATTTTCAGTGTCAAGAGACTTTCATACTTTAAGATACCATCGGAATTTAGAGTAAGTTTGCGAGCGGTATCACATCTTCTAGGAGGGTAGATGTCGTAGTGTTGCTGAATTTGAAAAGCTAAACCGCATAGGTGAAGGGACATATGGTATTGTCTGTAAGTATGAAAATTTAGCTAATAACTTAGACCGTGCTCGTGATACTGTATCAAAAGAGGTTGTGGCTCTGAAGAAAGTTCGAATGGAAAATGTTCGAGATGGCAAGTTTTCCTCACTCTCGAGTTATGTACAACAGGTATCCCTATTAGCAGTTTGCGCGAAATCACTTTGTTGCTAAGTATAAAGCACCCGAATGTTGTTCACTTGAGAGAAGTCGTTGTTGGGAGGAGCTTAGATAGGTATGTTCTAGTGATATCGATCATTTTCAGTATCTTCCTTGTTATGGAGTATTGTGAACAGGATATGGCAAGTTTACTTGATAACATGCCTAATCCTTTCACCGAGTCTCAGGTAATGTGTGGTTAAAATCCTAATTTGTACTGTAGGTTAAATGCATCATGCTTCAGATTTTCAAAGGTCTGAGATATCTTCATGAAAACTTTATAATCCACAGGGACTTAAAAGTCTCCAACCTGTTAATGAATGACAAGGGTCTTGTCAAAATAGCGGACTTTGGACTGTCACGCCCTACTCATTCCCATAATCCCATGACTCCTTGCGTTGTTACATTATGGTGAGAAGGTTCACTTCAAATTTTTCGTGTATTTTTATCAATAAGACTTATTTGCGTTCTCATACTAAGATCCAGCTATAGAACAGTTGATGTTTTCACTAAGTTTACGTGGTTGTTACGGTAATGACTGACAATCGCAAAGACAAATGACTAAGATAGCTTCATATTATTAACAATCTGGCTTAAATTGGTTATCAGTAGACAGGAAAATCGCCTGGTTTGAGACTAATGTGAGAATATCCGCCAAGTATTTCAATCCCAGTTGACAATGACAATAATTGTAATGATAATAATCTGAATCAATTGTTTGTTTTTCAAAGCGAGAAATTAATACTAACATTATTATTACTACTATTATTGTCATTATTAATCCCAGTTGACACACTCAACTAAAACACGTCATATCCCAGGAATCACTTAACGCTCTCACAGTTTTTTCCTGCAATCAGGATTATGGTCAAATTAACGAAAACTGAATTGCACGGATCAATATGGTTTTATCGTGTTTTTTATTTGTATCTTACGGCCTCGATCAGTCTCAATCGATGCAGTCAAACTAAACGACATTACTCATTATTTCAGTCTTTAGTAATAACAATGATAGGTCGCTTTACCTGTGTTCATCCCTCCAACTTGTCTTGAAGTGGAAAACCAGCCTCTCCGTAAAAGTGTTCACTGATCGAGTCGATACCACTTGTTCGGGTAGGATATTTCAGTCACTGACTGCTCGATAAGAACAAGATCCAACTCTGAGTTTATCCAGCTGCCGTTTACGAAACTTTTCAATTGCCCAAATGATTGGTCCTGTCGGAAGCAAAGGCTAAGGCATGTTAACGCACACATGTTAACCACACACTCCGATTGCCTGAATGTTGGCTAGCCAGATATTGGGATGATGTACAGTAGATTCATACTGTACATTGTTTCCGAAACTTGAACTACAATACAAGGTGATCGCTGTTTGCCGGTGGGGTTAGGTACTGAACGTCGGTAACATCATATGTGTGGTATGAAGAAAAATTCCAACTACGACGATTCATATTCTAAGCCAATATATGTCGCTTTTGCGATACACTATACAAGTACGCACTAAATAATAGTTGATAGTGGGCTGCCGTTCAAACATTCACCTGAAGCTATAAGCTCTATCCAAATAATATGTGGCGCGTTAAAATTCCCAACGATAAGATAGCAACCAACCTTACTCAACGTCTATATATGAGTTAGGGAAAATTAGAACAACACATATAAGCGAACAATTGTTTTCAATTAGATCGTCATCAGGCTTTACTCTAATATACATGGATATTTATACGAAAATTTTAAACCAATCAAGGCAATATGAGTCAATAATCACAATGAAATAGAATAAGTCACTACACATAAAATAGGTAAAAGTACAAGTTGATAGTACGAAGACAGGTGAACGGATAGTAGTAAGAATAATAAACTATAATAACAAAACTCTTATCAATAGTTAATCGTTGGAAATAGAAGGTCAAACAAACATGGGTAAATAGACTAGGAATAGTAATCACAAAACCTTAAAAATCATTACGTAATAAGATGTGTGTAAATAATTAGATAGTGAAGAATACAAAGAGGCGGATAATGACAAACAAATAATGGATGTGGAAATAAGGTTAACAATAACACAAATAGAATAAAATAAATAATGATAATAATAAAATTTAAAATAAAAATAAAAAAAAAAAATTGTTAGTTAAGTTATAACTGGCCATGGAAGGGATAGGGGAGTCACGTATTTCTTCTGTACACATAGATTGGGGTTATATGTACGAATTCCAATGGCTTCAGCTATATATAGGAGACGGGAACGGACTCCGTCGGGAAATGATGGAGGTATACGATAGATAACTCGAAATGATTTCGATTTCTCTACTGTATGACCGCTATCAATAAGATGTGCTAGTATAGAACTCCGAATAGTTTTTCTCTGACCCTTTATGTACCAAGTTGGTAAATGTTCACTCATTCGTTGGTTAAGTTGCCTGGTAGTACGCCCTATATAGCTATCTCCACAGGAGCAGCTGAATTTGTAAATGCACATGGAAGAGGCCAACTCAGGTAACTTATCCTTCGTTTGAGTAGACATCGCTGGACGACAAGAGTTGGCCTCTTCCATGTGCATTTACAAATTCAGCTGCTCCTGTGGAGATAGCTATATAGGGCGTACTACCAGGCAACTTAACCAACGAATGAGTGAACATTTACCAACTTGGTACATAAAGGGTCAGAGAAAAACTATTCGGAGTTCTATACTAGCACATCTTATTGATAGCGGTCATACAGTAGAGAAATCGAAATCATTTCGAGTTATCTATCGTATACCTCCATCATTTCCCGACGGAGTCCGTTCCCGTCTCCTATATATAGCTGAAGCCATTGGAATTCGTACATATAACCCCAATCTATGTGTACAGAAGAAATACGTGACTCCCCTATCCCTTCCATGGCCAGTTATAACTTAACTAACAATTTTTTTTTTTAATTTTATTTTAAATTTTATTATTATCATTATTTATTTTATTCTATTTGTGTTATTGTTAACCTTATTTCCACATCCATTATTTGTTTGTCATTATCCGCCTCTTTGTATTCTTCACTATCTAATTATTTACACACATCTTATTACGTAATGATTTTTAAGGTTTTGTGATTACTATTCCTAGTCTATTTACCCATGTTTGTTTGACCTTCTATTTCCAACGATTAACTATTGATAAGAGTTTTGTTATTATAGTTTATTATTCTTACTACTATCCGTTCACCTGTCTTCGTACTATCAACTTGTACTTTTACCTATTTTATGTGTAGTGACTTATTCTATTTCATTGTGATTATTGACTCATATTGCCTTGATTGGTTTAAAATTTTCGTATAAATATCCATGTATATTAGAGTAAAGCCTGATGACGATCTAATTGAAAACAATAGTTAGGGAAAAGCCAGTATGTTTAGGTCGGACGATTTACTTCTAGGACTACAAGCGTTTGTGTACACACATCTAAGGTGTTTGGAGAATCACGCCTATCTAGGTCTCGGAAGCATTGTCTTTTAAGACAACTACCCGTAAACCTAAATTTCAAGGTTTGTTTCACCGTTTTACTTTCGAGTTTTCAACTCAGTAACAGCAGTCCTCAAGTGACCAATATGACCAAATACAAATATTCCAGTAACGGATTTTGTATGCGTTATTTGGTATCAATTCTCTTTCCTTGTTATTTCCGAGTACTGACTTTAACGTCCTCTTTTGGTTGGGCATCGCCTCCAACCTATTTAACGAGTCTTTTTACAATAGTTATTTGTACTCCCGAAACCTCTTCTGGCAGTACGTTTCTGATAGCAGATTCTACCAACTGCAGATTATGCGCATACCGTCTAACAGACTCATTGTTTTTTGACTTCAGATTCCAAATAATTAAACTCGAGACGGACTTGACTTCATTGAATGTCATATTCACGGCTTTCATTCGTGTTTCAACCGTTCTCTCCTAACTACGTATCGGAAGCTTTTCTTTAATTTTCCTTTTTGTTTTGACTTTTGGAGTAGTACATTCATTTATAATATCCAATTTGCCTTGGGAGAGATTTTTGCTCCCTACGAATCTTATGGTTGCACTTACCTCATCAGCAGTGTTTGTGGTAAGCGCACTGTCGATGAGTGGTAGTTACGTTTTCTTGACAGTGCGGGGTTTTTAGAGATTGTGCTTGATCGTAGTTTGGACAGAGGTTTTATCTCCTTCTGGCGTGTCGAAAATGGTAGTCTCAGCACTTACATCTGGAATAAGAGGTTAGCCGACAACACTAACTATTGCATTTGTAGATTCCTTGTCGTCCGATGTCAAACTTAGCAAGCAAGCATCGTCGCTTGGCGTCTTCGTCAGAATGGGAAGCTCCAAGATTTCATCTAGGAGAATCGCCTTAGTTAAACAACGTTCTCTACATAACCAAAGTAAAGCCAGTATGCTGGAACGTTTATATGAGGCCGGTAATAGATTGGTACACATTTTACGAATCACTTCTTACTGCTGCCACACTCCATGTCATCCTCAACAGAGTAAAGATATAATGGCCGACCACATCGATGAATATAAATGACCATTTTAATCAGTATGATGTAGAGAGAACAAGAAAAAGTTACAGAAGTGCTGGTCACAAAGTGTGGGAAAACAATAACGTTACTAATGTAGCTATGAAGGTGTACAGAAATGGTGACTAACTAGTGGCAGTTGAAGCACCAAAACGTCAAAAACCTTAACAGACGCAACTCTATAAAAAAACGGGAGAACAGTCGATACGAATACACAAATACGAAAAAATAATTCAACTAGTGTAAAATGAAATGAAAATCTTATGAAAAAGTATTTTACAGACTCAAACATCTCTAGAAGCCCTTAATATAAGTTTAAATCTAACTTCTGCTACGATAAGCATAACAGAAATCTAACATCTCAAAACGTAAAAAATCACTTCCTTTTTTCGAGTCGTGCGCAAGATCACCTATTGTTCTACAACAAACTGACGTAGAAACATTTGGGAACTTTGCCACTCCTTTGTAATATATTTTCAGACCAGTTTTCAGGCTCACTGATTAGATTATGGAAATCATTTGCAGGCTTACATTCCTTTGACACTACAAACTCCTATTTCATAACTTTGTAACTAGTTTTTTAGAATGAATATTCTCTCCATTCCTTATCTGGTTAACATCCAGGTCAGAGTTTCAGCTTTATGACGTTTGTACTCGACCTTAATTTCATATTCTGACACCACTTCACCGATGTAAACAAAGCAGTATCACCTCGTCTGCGGTCAGTCAGTCGTAAACTACTCACAACTTAACACATATATGTCGATCCAAGTCCTTATCGGAGAAAGTTAACCAGGTGAATATAAGCGAGAAATTGCTATCAAGTGCAGTAAAAAATAACTTCGAAATACACTTTGCAAGGATCTCTTTAAACCGAAGTATAACAATCTAAAAAGCTTAAGATTCACAGTAGGATTAAAAGTGACTGCATCTATTTCTTTGCGACTGATATCGAGTAATCTTTCCTACAGCTTCCATCCACCGATAACAGTTGTTTCAAAAACTACGATCAGGGAGTCTGCATCTTTTGACATAGGTCAAACAGTTAATGACTCTATGTAATAATACTCTGTTGATTTAGATACCCCTAAGTCTTTCTAAACTGTTCATACTCTAGCCAGAATAGCACAACAGAAATGATCAGAGTTTGCGAATGCGTTGCACATCTCAGCCACTATAGTCAATAAGAGCTCATAGTATCTAATCTACCTAGTGTCTTGATGGTTTTCTTACACAGGATTTCAGTATTTTTAAGTCCATGTGTTTGCTCGCTTGTTTCCACGAATATGGTATTCTGTGGATTGAAGTTATACATGATTATTGAATTCACAATTGCCTATAATTTTTTAACTCGTAGGTACCGAGCACCGGAAATTTTACTTGGCGATAAAAACCAGACTAAAGCTGTTGATATATGGTTAGTTCAAATAAATTTGTGTCATCCCAAATTTGAAATATCAGGTCAGCTGGCTGTATTATGGGTGAGCTTTTATTACACAAACCACTTCTTCCTGGGAAGACAGAGGTTCACCAATTGGAGTTAATTATTGATTTACTGGGCACTCCGAATGATCAAATTTGGCCGGTATGTTCAAGTTATGCACTTACTTGTCTTCACTCTAGAATCTTTCCAAATTACCAGCATTAGAAAAGATAAATCTGAAAAAGCAACCGTAAGTTTGCATTATCGATCATTTGTTATCTTGAGTGTTCAGAATCTCTTGTTACGTTTTATTTGTCTTTCTTCATTTTGTGTGAGCTTCCTGGTCGTGGCACCGTTACGTCTATAAATTCCACTAATCATAATCTAGTTTTAAGGTGATTTGATGGTAATTGATAGGTTTAAATATTCATTTAATAATCCAATTTATTTATCATCATATTCTTATAAGAGTTTTCATTTTAGTAAACAACTGGCATTGAGCTACAACACTTGATTTATGGTCCTAGTAACGTTTGCTAAAAGCCCTGTATAACTAACGATCAACTATCTCTGATGTCCTCATTCTTAATTCTTAGAGTAGAAAATCATAGAACCAAAATAGATATTTCGGCTAAGATTTTTTCTACGGTAAGATACCAAAGAAAAGAGATCTGAGAAAATGTGGAAACTACAGAGGCATCACACTAATATCTGAACCACGAAACGTTTTCAGCATAGTACTGCTGAACCGAATGAAGGATTCGGTGGATACCCAACTTCGAGATCAACAGTCCGGATTCCGTAAGAATCTGTTGTGTATCGACCTAGTTGCGACACTACGAATCACCGTTGAACAACCAATTGAATGGACCTCGTCGCTATAAATCAACGTCCTTGACTATGAAAAGGTGTTTAACAGTGTGGAACCTTATGGGACTTCCTTCAACATTATGGTGTGAGTAGTTGAGAAGATCAACAACATACAGAATTCATAAGACGGACTACATTACAAAGTCCCTTTCTCTTCCTTCTGGTAGTTGACTGGATTATGAAGACCTCGACATCTGAGGGAAGCACAGAATACAATGGACAGCTTGGATGCGACTAGACGATTTGAACTTCTCAAATGACCTGGTCCTTCTATCCCATACACACGAACAAATGCAGGTCAAGACAACCAGTGTAGCAGCAGCCTCTGCATCAGTGAGCCTCAACACATACTAGAGAAAAGGCGAGATCCTCGATTACATTACGGAGACTTAAACGGAATACATGTTTTATTAAGAACCAGAGAGAATGTATACATGCAAATCCCAATCAACATATCATTCTGGGTTTATGTTATGGCCTATCCACTCACAAAGTTGTTTAATATATTTTCTGTCTCATTGATTTCCTTTTATTATTGCGTAGTATGTTAACTTAGATCGATGAGTGTTGGGGATAGGTTTTCCTGTTATTTATCTGTTTGTTCGCTGCCAAGTCTTTTAATAGATCACTAGTCTCGTCATTCGGTGTTACACCTCACTAGTAGTGATTAACGTTTATTATTAATTCATTCGTAAGCTGTAACATTATTGACATCATATTTTCAACATTTCACATCAAGTGTGCTTCACAACCCAAACACAAGACTACACAGTATTTAGGTAGAATTAAATAAATGAAAATCGTATTTTGCTTCATTCTTCTGTTATCAATCTATAACTCATTTAACTTACTATTCTTTTGATTTGTACGCAAATTATTTTTTTAAGTTTTATTTACGTAATTTTTTCATTCGTGTTTTCCAGGTACAATAATTTGCGTCATACTTTCCCATGGTTATCAGATGCTGGTTTGCGTTTACTAAACTTTCTGTTCATGTATGACCCGTCTAAACGGGCTCGGGCTCGTGAGTGCTGTCAGAGTTCTTATTTCCGTGAACATCCTTTACGTGAGTGATTGAATAAAGCTATTATTATTATTATTCCATGCAATGTCTTTATCAATATTTTCTTTAATTTAATGAACATCTATTTTAATTCGCTTCGCATTAAGCCTAATGTTGAGATGCAAAATCGTGGTATTTTATTTTTATACACATTGGAAGTTAACGAAAATTATATAAATGATTTACAGCAAGTTGAGGTTAATAAATGTATTCATGTGTTAACAAATAACAAAACTCAAATCAAATCTCACCCCCCACCAATCTGTGCGTAATTAGTAAATTGTGATACTCCATATAAAACTAGCCGTCTTGAACATATATTTGAAAATTGTGTCTTATTGCCTTGTTCTGACAAAACAAGTTTTAGTAAACCGTTTACATCTGTATAGTTATTAACTGGTGCCAATGGGACAGTCTGGGAATGGCTTTTCTACATTAAGTTTGCATAAAAACGTAACTTAAAACTCAATACGTTCCATTAAGTTTTTTGAAACCATTTTACTCGATACTGGTTTAAAGCACAATTTACAATCTTTATTTCATTTTTAATTTCAATTATCAATATATTTAGTTGGTATGTAGTATTTATTTAACTAAAGCGATACAGTAATCTTTAAAAACAAATAACATGTTCTTAATTTCCCTTATTTATCGATAACAGCATGCGAACCTGATATGATGCCATCTTTTCCTCAACATCGATTGAAGCGTAAGAATTCTCCTGGTGAATATGATAACAAAGGTGTTAATCCAGCCCAAGATCAAGCTGCTGGATTATTTGATGCTGCCTTCGATAGGATTGTGAGTGTTTATCTAAAGAATTTTCAATAAGAACTACATACTTTACTTTTATTGGTCAATTTTCAGAAATTTTTGAATTCCTTCACTAATCGTTCATTAATCTTTCAAATAGTTGTTAATAATTTGTAGGCGTCGTGATTTTTAGTCGTTAATATCATGTTTTCTAGAATTGTTTAGACGGAAAATCATTGATTTCCAGTCTCACTTTAATCTGCTTATTAAATAGCTTCAGTCGACGTTTAAACAATAAAATCTAAATAATTGTTGTTACTTTAGTTTTTTGTTAAATGAATTTGTAGCATTGATTGGACTTAATGTATAAGTGGTAAATAGTTTTATTAAACAGTCGTGTTTCTGTACTCGGAAATCGAAAAAGTCCTATTCCCCGCCATCTATCGTTTGTTTTCTCATTCAATAAATAATACTCAACAGAAACTCATTTATTCATTATATCAAGCGAAGCTCAATTATAACTATCTATTTATACACTTTAAAGCTGTGACTTAACAGTTTGGGTTCTCAATTTTCAATCAGTGAATCTTGAATCCAGAGCTTATTGATTGTACCGCTATTTATGTGGCTAACTATCAATAACATCAACACTTAGGGTTTCTCACAAACTAGGAAGTTGAATGTGGTTGCTTTGATGAATAATTGTTTGATACGAATGTATATGTGTACCGTCGATTGTTTAACAAATTACCTCTTATAGATCCTTTCTGTTTCATTACTTCTTGTCATAATCCTTACAGCTTAACCCATGAAAAAGTGGTTATAGGGAGTTTAATTATAATACTTGTTCTATGTAAGTAGGCAACAGTGATTAAAAAACTGCACTTCCATAAATGTTCATCGATCTGTATCATATTTACTCTAAATAATATTAAAAATTCCTATGTGACTATTTTGAAATTCTATTTTTCTTTTCTATTAAGCGTAATTCATCAATTATAAATTTTGTATGTTAATCAAAGCTGTATGCATTTTGTTGTTTTGCTTCTAGGTGAAGAAACGTCGAGCTTAAACAGAACCAACACTATAAATTTTAAGAAATTCATTTATATAATACATTTGTGCATTTCTAATTTCTTGGTGTTTTTAATTTGTCCTCTTTAGTCATTCACAACTGTCAATTTTTACGTCCATAAAAATCATAATTAACTTCTTACCGTAGTAATATTCTAACGCTAATTTATCCTTTATATGGATACTACTAAGAAAAGAAATATATGGTTCTAAAGCATTTTCCCTCTTAGTGTACAAGTGTTTGGCTTTGCCACACCACGATAAAGGAAATGATAATCGTGTAGAGAAGAGCGAAGATCGGTAATGAGTTTTGAAGGCTAAATTTCCAAAGAGTATGCATTCAATGTGGATTTTGTTACTTTACAAGACATCTTAGATTGCTCATGCAAAATTAAAGAAGAAACTACATACAGACGACGGATCTTTTCCACTGTATCACACCCATCTAATAACACCGGCTTCTAGTGCTGTTATGCTCTGAGGTCTACCAAAAAGTTAGACGCATTTTTTACAGGATCATAACCCGCTACATGTGTAAGAAGACTATATATATCCCAGATGTATGTCAGGGTCTTGCTAACGTTCATAAGTCGTTCCAACCAATAACTTATCTTCAATGTTTCTTATCTAGCCTTCAGTTTGTGCGCACAGCCACATGATATGTCTGGATTCACCTAGCATATGAACCGTCCCTCCCACCATACAACAAATAATGATGAAACAACGGATACCAAAGAAGTGCATTTATCTTTTTCAATTAGCAGTGACTAATAATCCATCCACTGAAACATCAAATCAAAGTTGTTATACTTTAGGTCAAATAATGTTTTGTGTTTAGAACTAATTAACATCAATCAGTAAGGCGAGAAGTCACGTTCTCCGTGTAAATGGAACCCGTTCATCAGTCACAAGTGATATGTTTCTGACCATATAACATGGAATAAAGTGCATCTAAGCCAGTTACTTTGTCATAACCTTGCCGACGTAACGCAGGAAGTCGGACAGTTCAAATCTATCAAGGTGGTACTTAATACATAAATATCTCCAAAAACAAGGCAATAGATTTCCCTCCTTACTTGATAAAATGATAAATTTTCCATACGATCTATCTGCAAATGCCATTGTCGACAATTAATCTCATTAACATAGCCTTTTCAGCAGTGATTTACGACAATTCACGGAAAGCCTATATACCAGTGAGCAAAACAACTAATCTGAGATCAAGTGTTATGATCATATACAACGAATCTCTCTGATAAATTGCTGTGAAGCAAAAGCAAGGAACAATTTAGTATGAAGTGGATTTATTTTGTGTTCTCTAAATTTTTCACACACACATACACATTTTGTAAATAAAATGTTATCTCATGCGAAACATTCACCCAGTTGTCTGTTTACTGATAGAGAACTATCACAAATCTATGGTTTCCACCAATAAAGAAATAAATCGGTTACATCCTCCTGGGCTAAAAATAATTATCGAACTGCTCTCATGGTACTCCTCCGATTCACGTTTCTGCAAAGTACAGGTACAATGTGGAATGTCATAAAAATCGATTATTTTTGTGTTACGGAATGGCAGCGATACTCTAACTAAAACTTCTATACCACAAACAACAGTAGTACATTCCCTCCAAGCCCCAGCTACCCCAAATGACCAATTTCTTGGGTTAAAACATGAGTCGACCAAAATCAACCAAACACTGAAAGCTTGGAAGCACCGTCTCCTCAGAAGTGCGCATTCACGAACCCGCGATTAAGAATCGAATCCAGGACTTGCATGCGAATGCTTAACCTCTTATACAATGAGGTACACTTGGTGTGTACCAGACGACAGAAAGTTCTACATAGTGTAGATTCGATCAGTCACACCAAATATCAGTTTTTCAAGACGCAACAACTAATGTGGCTAACACTCAACCAATCAATGGATGAACAATAAAAAAAACTCGACTCTGAGCAATTCTTTCCAGTTGCCATTCATCCTTTTAATGTCTACTTCCAATTCTCGACGCAATGTGTTGCTTCGGCTTTCGCTCTTTCGATTCCCTTCAGCACTTGCCTTGTGATGCAGTTTGATGATTTTCGCAATGTATGTCCAACGTACCACCTCCAGCGTCTTTTCCTAGTTTCCTCTTTAAGTGGAAGTTGATTTGTTCTCTCTCAAAGTAAGCTGCTGCTGATGTTATCCTGCCAACGTACATTGTATATCTTGCGTAGACAACTGTTTTTATAAAGACTTGTACCATTTTGATGATAGTTGGAGTTCTCCAAGTCCCAACTTCCTACAGTAGAACTGTCTTGATGTTCCTACAGAAGATTCTCACTTTCGTATTGGTTGACAGTTGTTTTGAGTTCCATCCTTCAATTAAAGAATGCTACACTTGTTCTTCCAATCCTCGCCTTTACGTCTGCATCCGGTCATCCTTGTTCACCGATGGTGCTGAACAGTTGAGCACGAGGAAGTTTACTATTCTTCCAAGGTTTCTCCATCAAGTTTGATTGGTTTGGTTGATGTTCTGCGTGTTGTAATCGAGGATCTCGCCTTTTCTCTAGTATGTGTTGAGGCTCACTGATGCAGAGGCTGCTGCTACACTGGTTGTCTTGACCTGCATTTGTTCGTGTGTATGGGATAGAAGGACCAGGTCATTTGAGAAGTTCAAATCGTCTAGTCGCATCCAAGCTGTCCATTGTATTCTGTGCTTCCCTCAGATGTCGAGGTCTTCATAATCCAGTCAACTACCAGAAGGAAGAGAAAGGGACTTTGTAATGTAGTCCGTCTTATGAATTCTGTATGTTGTTGATCTTCTCAACTACTCACACCATAATGTTGAAGGAAGTCCCATAAGGTTCCACACTGTTAAACACCTTTTCATAGTCAAGGACGTTGATTTATAGCGACGAGGTCCATTCAATTGGTTGTTCAACGGTGATTCGTAGTGTCGCAACTAGGTCGATACACAACAGATTCTTACGGAATCTGGACTGTTGATCTCGAATTTGGGTATCCACCGAATCCTTCATTCGGTTCAGCAGTACTATGCTGAAAACGTTTCGTGGTTCAGATATTAGTGTGATGCCTCTGTAGTTTTCACATTTTCTCAGATCCCCTTTCTTTGACGAGGTGTTCTTAACAGTCAGTCGGCATTTGGTCTTCCTCTAAAATATTCTTGAGTAGAAAGTGGAACATGATTACGATTACTTCTATGCCTGACCAGTGCTCCAGCTGGTATACTGTCAGGTCCTGCTGCTTAACTGCCCTTGCTTTGTCTGATGGTCACCTTGATTTCTTCGACTGTTAGCGGAGTGACATCTGTCGGGAGGTCTGTACGTGCTGCTTCGATGTCCGGTGGATTGAATTCAAAAGTTTCTCACAGTATTCTACCCATCTGTTCCTTTGTTGAGTCTCGGTAATTGGCTTGCCTTCTTTTTCCTTGACTGGTCTCTCTAGTCTACTATATTCCCATACTAGTTTCTTCGTTATGTCATTTATTTGTCAAGTTCTTTTCTGAGCACTTCGCTAAGATCGATTGCAGCCTCTCGTAAAACTGATCTTTATTGCCTTCATTGCTAGGTGCATAACATTGGATAGTATTCAGTGTAATCCCCTCCTTATTTGTTTTGAACGATGCTTTGATCATTCTGGATTTATGAAATCCCCATTCTATAAGTCCATTTCATGCTTCCTTGGACAGCGTCAGAGCATCTGTCTCTAAGTGTGTGGTGCATTTTTCTTTTCGTGACCGGAGTACTGCAGTATCTCTCCCGTATCTTATCTGTCTAGTCTAGGTTTCGCAGATTCCGAGAACCCCCAAGTTGTATCCTCATTTTTGTTGGTCTCACATCGTGAGAACACTCCATAGGGATGGTGACGCCATGCGCAACCTTCCCTTTTACCCGGGCTTGTGACCAGCAGTAGCCCTAGAAGAGTTTTCCTACCAATTAGCTACTCGTAATTGATATTCTTTTTAAACAAACTACTGTAATCCAGATCTTTCAATGTCATGGTAGTAGTATGTCTATCTATTAGATCAATTCACCTCGTAAAATAAGAGCTCTCTAGTAAATCCTAGTCTTATTTTCTCCGACTGCGTGTGTTTGTGTCAAAGCTGAATTATCATTCTATGTTAAACGACCGATTGATCTAATCGCACTATTTTCGCTCCCATATCAGTAGTATTTTCCCGAAGATACTCGACACAATACTAAACATAATATGGCCACTAAAAAACCTATCCCACACCTCGTCTCCCAGTAAATTAAATAAGATCCATAAAATCAAAATAAAAAATACATGTTAATTGAATAAAATATCCAATTAGATGTAAAGAAAATCCAGTACACACATTCTTGTCTCAGTAAATCTATCATAAAGATTATTTTGAAGTTGTGATTTAGTACATTAATATCAGTATTTATTATTGCTATTTTGTGAAGATGAGGATGTAGTGGACATATTGTGAAGGCGCTTAACTAAATTTTCATCTAATAAATGACTATTATTATCATCATCATTATTTGATAATTTTGCTTTATTTGCACGGCCAAAACGTTGACAATTTTGACTGCCTTTAAACACTGAATTGACTTTATTTGATTCTGTTACTGGATATGTTCTTTTTTCATATGAATCTATTACAGATCCATTAGATATTGAGTATTTTTGCTTTTGTGGGGATTGTTGAAAATTTGATTTCGCTTTCAATGGAGAATCGGATTGTTTTTGTCGATATGGTGTTGTACTACAACTCTTTGTTTGATTCCCTGAGGATGACAAAGTACTTTTAGAAGTATAATTATTATTGATCCCAGGATCATTGTAGTTTGAATCTTCGGAAATGAAAAATTTAAATTCTAAATAATTAATGTATAAAGTAATATTTCTTGAATATAAAACATTGTTTATAGATACGGAGAAAAAAAGTAAAATAAGAAACGTGGAAAACCGATTAGCAGCAATTTATCTGAGTTACATATTTCTACCGAGTATTTATCAAACAGTTGTTTTGGATTATTTATGGCTAATCAATTATTATTAGATCATTTTTCATCGATGAAATATAGTTTATTAACTATGAGTGTATTACTTAGATTTGTATAAAAATATACCAGTTATTCACCAATCTACCGAGATCTATTGATCGCAGTGAAGTATTTTACGCATAAATGAATATAGATTAGCAGTAAAGCGACACAATGTATTATCATTGATATCGATGCTTGTAGACATTTATGGACACAAATTCTACTGGTGAAATGTCAATAATTTGAATGGGGGGAACTCCAAAAATAACGGAGAATTCCTAGCATAGCATTCAGATTAATTGGCACTCAACAAACATATGGACATAGATTCAATCCAATGAACCTATATGGACAAGGTTAATTAATCGCAAGTTCACATGTCAGCCAATAAAGATGGTCAACGTGAATGTAAGGACACACGAAGACAATCAATCACAAGCAATGTCGTACATAACACTTGATGAATAACCAAAGAGCTCGCTTCTAAATGAAGATGCTGAAAATGTTATTCAGAATGACAATGAAGGTTGAACAATTAAACTATCTAGCTAAGATAACACAATACCAAAGTTCTAAGTAAACGGTCAAGTGAATGATAAGTTAACGTAATTAATGATAAGTAAGACACTTAAAACTATTTATTCGGCATTTCGGTGTTCTGATTGTAAAATGTATTCATTAAAAAAATAAGATTTCTGAATTCATTCTCAAAAAACTATTAAATACAAGAAAGTAACTTGATGATTGAAGAGATATCGAAATAGAAACACAGTGATCATTTATCAGTATGCAAAAATTTGGAACTCCGATCAACTCGGTCAATTTTTATAAAAATAATATGCACCTATTTTGTTAACTTGGTAGAAACAACTGTATCAAGACCAAAACTTATGTGAAAGTAAACATGAGATTATCTTCAAATAAATTAAACATTGATTAGAAAATTGTATTTCCGACTTTTTTATTTACATAAAGTTATGAGACATCAGAAATACACAAATTTCTACTCATTGAGATATCGCAAAAATATATTTATTATAAGATCACCTTATTTAATTCCTGAAATTGATTCCCTTTAAAAATTTAGGTAAAGCAAAAACGCCAATTTTCGCAGAGTATATTAGCTTATATTGTGATTGAACAGAAAGCAACAAAATACAATGAATTCATTGTATTCTGTAAATACTGTCATTCCTGCTTCGTTTGAATATCTCATCTCAGGTTAATTGAAAGTCAACTTATTTTGCTCAAAGGAATTCAATGTCTAGCTTTACAACAATGACACTAGTTCACTAAAACAAGAACTGTACTTACTATGATAATGTGATTTTCGTGATAGATCATTAGTTTGATGAGGATTAGACACATTCTGTTTATTGTCATACTTTTTTGGCTCACACGGAGACTTATTAGACGTAACAACTATTGAATGGTCTGATGAAACAGATGAAAACTGTTCTTCATAAACACTTGAACTGGATACCCGACTGGATTTATGATATTTTTTAGGCTCATTATTATTTATTATTATTATTATTATTATTTTGTTGACTTTTTGGCCGGTAATTAACTGGGTGATTCGCTTGTACAGTATTTCTATATTGTTGTTGATTGTTTACATAACCAACGGGTGATGAATAACAGGACGGGGGAAAGGATTGTTGTCGACCATAGATATTAGATTGCACAAGATTATTTGATAAACTGTTAAGTACGAAAGCATAATTAGGGATAGAGCCAACAGTATTATTCGGAAGCAAAGGAGTTGGGTACGGTACTGAAGGAAGTATCGAATGAGAATTAGTACGTATATTTACATGATGCGGTTGTACATGACGATAATTGGAAGTGATAGGTTGTTGTTGTTGTAAATTATTTCTTATCGGTCGAACTTGGTAACTATTTTGTGGTTTAAAAGGATTCTTATAGGTATGCGATGATATGTTTGTTGGAGTATTATTAGGTTTAGGGAAGTTTTTACAAACAGCACTAGTAGAATTCAACTGACGATTTTGATTTGAATTATCATAATGTTGACCCATTGGTTCCTGTGAATTTGATTGTGATGCTTGAGCTTTTTGTAAAAAATGACCAATCAGTGAATGTAATGTAACTATGTCAGAATTATCTCTTTTATTTCTCTTTTTATTTCTTGGACATTCAAATGCTCCATGTCCAGTTTGATTACATATAAAACAAAGTATATTATTTTTTAAAAATCTTTTATCGACAACAATGTATTCTGGCGAAAACAAATGGCTAAAAAAAATAAACGTTCAAAATGAAAAGTAATGTTTAAAAATTGCTAAAAGAATTAATTTTCCGTAGAGAAACAGAACATATATAATACAAAACTAACGAAATCACATTCAAAGAAAAAGTCTAACCCAAAGAAATTTGTTATTATAGGATGCTGTAAAGCTTGTTAGATTTTGCCTTTTGAAATGTTTATGAAACATTGCTCATTCGGAAAGTGAGCAATGATTAGGTTAGAAGCAACGTATTAGGTGAAGATGGGATGTCGGTTGACGTAACCTTGATACTTCAATAACACGTATTACACATGCCCAAAAACTGTCTATTCAGACTTAAAATACCGGTTGGAAAAGCAGTAGTTCGGAAGAAAGCTGACAGTAGTCATGATATTGTACACCGTTAGTCAGTGCTATTTTGCTAAGTGAAGATTACTGTTGGTTGAGTTCTGAGTGACAAACTTGATTAGCCACTGGACATACTGGGTTACGTAGCTGAAAACTGGTCACAATGGAGAAACCCCGCTCACTTTTTACCTTTACCTAGATTATGATTTTAAAGGTTATTTCATATTGGTTTATCACTTTATTTTGGAACTCTATTCTGTAAGTTGAATATTTCTTACTTTCACTGATACAAGTGTCATTGTAACTTAGCATATAATCTTTTTGATTTCATTTTGAAGAGTTGTGATGTGAGAACTCAGACCGATGCAAATCTGTGCCAAATTCACAATAGTGAATATATCAAGGGTATATTTGAGTTACATCACTAAATTCAGCCAGTGAGTAACAACGTAGAACTACGTACGTACATACATCAGTTCAAGTTGCCACACCACATTAAAAGAGAGACGCAGTTGTCGATTCAAATCCATTTGTGGTAGAGGTAGTAAGAGTATAAGCAATAATCGGAAAGATTAGGGTTGGAAGATGTTATTCAAGGATTATAATACAGTGAAATAAATTTGGAAAGAGAAAAAAAAGGAAGGGACATTAAGAATTCAGAAGATTAGAATTTGAGAGAACACAAAGAGTGGATGCACCTGCGCCATCGCAAACGATTTTAAGCCATGTCATTCAGGGTCTCTAACCATCGGTTGCTATCATCTCTCGGATTCCAACCAGTTAGTCTACATCTGCCAATATGGCTCAATCCACTTGCCAGTGATTTTATGCATTTGTGCCATGTTTTGGTCTGGCCGCCTCTAGCTTTCTTCCAACCCACTCCTATACCAGAAAACATCGCATGTCGAGGTAGTCGGTGGTCGGGTATACGTAACACATATCCCAGCCATCTCAACTGGTGAAATTTCACTACTTCATCGATTGATTTGTCATCCTTACCTAGTACCCGTGTCCTAACAACTGTATTACTTACTCGGTGTTCGCAGGATATGCGAGCAATGTTTCGAAGACACCTATGATCAAATACTAGTAACCTACGACATCGGCATGTTCTAAGTCAACAAGTGAACCTCCCGGTAGAAGTTCAATCCCTGGAAATTTAGATGAGGAGAGTGTTATCTCTAAAAGTACGTCGACCACAAAGTTGAATAAGAATGGGGAGAGTGGACAGCCCTGACGAACACCACTTGAGGTAATCAATTCTGATGACAGTTCGCCATAAGCTCTCACTCTGCCAGTCGTGTTCGAGTAGAGAGCCTCTACAAGGTTAATGTACTTCTTTGGTACTTCTTTCAGTGACAAACACTGCCATAGAACCTCACGATCAACAGAGTCAAATGCCGTCTTAAGGTCGGGAAATACTACCATTGTGGGGCGTCTGAATGTGTGTCTGTGTTCTAGAACCTGACGTAGTGTGAATATCTGATCTATACAACCACGTCCAGGTCGAAAACCGGCCTGGTTTTCTCTAATCTGCTCTTCACGAGCTTTGATTAGGCGTCGAAGTATTATTGAGGCTAATATTTTAGACACTATATTAGTCAAACTGATTCCTCTGTGATTGTCACAAGAGGACTTTTATCCTTTCTTATAGACTGGCACAATCAGTGATTGAGACCAGTCAGATGGGATTACGTCTAGTTCCCAGATTCTACCTAAGACCTCAGTCAATCTCGCTGCTAACACTGGACCACCATCCTTAAATGTCTCAGGGGTAAACCTGCTGCTGTCCCATGCTTTAGATTTTTTGTAGCTTTTCCAATTTCGTAGAGTTGGATGACTTACATCAACTTGCCATTTAGGTTGACTGGAGATCGTGGGCTGAAGGCCAGTTGTACTGATCCCTAAATTGTTCTACCCATCGATCCAATCTCCTGGATTGAGAATGTATAATATGTCCATCTTTATCCGAGATAGTTGGGTTCCTAATACCAGTTTCTTTAACAAATCTGAACAGTTGTCTGTTGTTACCTATTGCCGCTGCCTTTTCCATCTCTCTTGATTTCGTGATCATTGCGTAGGCTTCTCATCAGCCTGCACTTCAGCTGACTCCGCTCTTCGTTATGTTCAGAGCCAGATAGAATGAGTTTTCGAGCATCTATCAGTGCGATAGATGCTGCTGAGATCCAGTGTTGCTCCCTAACCTTCTGGTTTACCTTAATAGCAGATATCACTGCTGTTTCCACAGCTTTTCGGATATCATTCCATGCTCCATCGGGGTGGGCATCACATACATGGCTGCCTAACTGTTTTCCTAGTTGTTCCTGAAATATACTCTTAGCTTGACTATCATTAAGTAGGCTCCTAAGAGGTTTCCTTGCAGCGTCTTTCCTACGTCCAGTAAGACGCAAGCAAATACGCGCTCGCACTAGAGCATGATCTGAATCTAAGCATGTGCTCCAGAATGAGCGACAGTCTTCTGTCGAGCCCCCCCCCATCGATGGCTGATAGCGATGTGATCTAGTTCGGTCCAACGTTGGGACGAATTTGGGGGTCGCCGTGTCAAAAGATGTTTTTCCTTATGCTTAAAGTTAGTATTTGCAAGAAACAGGCGGTTATCTGAGTATAGCTGCAGCAGACGGTCGCCTTTATCTATTCTTCCAGCCGCGACACCAAAATATCCACCCAGGTGTCTTTCCCTTTCGCTTAGTTTACCTACTTGAGCATTAAAGTCACCGGCCACTATTACTACATCCGAGCGCTTAGCTTTTCGGAGAAGGTCCGAAAGCTTTCTGTAAAACTCATCTTTTACATCATCCGAGCTGCAGTCAGTGGGAGAATAGGCAGAGACGACGAAGAGGCAACGACTAGTGTCCCTATCTTTCCGAGTCCTTACTGTTCTGTTCAGTGGGACAGCGCACAAACGACTGTCTACTGGGATCCACTCTAAGAGAGCTAGTTCTGCCCTAGGACTCAATGCTATACCCACACCAGCGAGGCTACGGGAAGCAAAATTAAGGCTTCCAGATACACGAAGTGTGAATCGAGTTGGTTCTTTGTCTTGACATGGTGATGCCAAATGAATGACGCTACTCGGATCCTGTATGCGCGTTTCGGAGACGCAGCATACATCGATGGTGCGAGATTCTAAAGTCCTAACTAAGGAAACCTGTTGTCCTATTTGGCATAGTGTTCGGACGTTAAAAGCTCCTACATCTAGTTTAGAGTGTGGTTTCAGGAGGCCAGGAATAACGTTCCGCGTACACGAATCGTTTGCCAAGTGATAAGGGGATGTGAGAACGGTTAGTTGTGGAGATGAGAGGGATATTAAGAGGTGTAGGAAGGATTTGAATGTGACCTACTTGGTTTCATGTGTTGTTACGGGCATGAGGGCTGATATCACTTCCAGGCTGCCCACACCGTGTAAAAATATTTCTTGAGAAACCTGAAAATGAAGTTGGATTAGTTACGGCTTTAACGACCTGGAAGCGTGACCGCAGAACCCAAGTGACAACTGCTTCAGGCCGGTCGCGCACGGCCTTTCTGCGGGACGTTTTCAATGTGTTAGCTCCGTTCTTCAAAGGGCCTTATCGCCGGAGACGGAAATCTGTGAGGTGTGACATTTTTAAGGTCAACCTTTTCTAACCCCACCCCTCCTTGTGGGAAGGCAGTATCGCTGCAGATGCTGGTTGTCTGAGGGAAACACTTTACTGCTGTCACACCCCTCTGCAGTCAGCAGTACGACTTTGCCTTCAGACCTTGAGTTGCTGCTTTTAGTCTTGCCGTTCTCCAATCGACCTGCCTGGCATGGTAGAACCTACGGGAACATGTGTTCCAGCCTACATAGCTCGGTTGGGTCGTCACGATACGCTAGCCCGACCACCACGTCAAGGTAGCAGCTACGGTAGGGACATCACTAAATTATTCAACTGAGTTGAGAAAACATATGACATAGAGAATCACTAGTATAGACATGACAGAAATAAAAATAATAATTAGATCTAACAAAAGAAAAGTGATTTTAACTTGATTTCTGCTTAACGAGGCCTGTTTAATAAGGTATCAATGGAATATAATTTATTAACATATTTGTTATTCTCATAAGTGAATGCGATTACCTAAATGTAAATTACTACACTAACTTAAGAGTTCCTCTTCATTATTATTATCATTATGTCGACCGATGATGATGATAAATAAATCGTCGATATGATGGTATTGTGGTATGTGCTACAGATGTCGACAGATATAAGTAGTATATATCATCAATCGAGATTGAAATACCTGGCAGCAGAAGATTAAAGAAAAGAGAACAAGAACAGTGAATGATTGTTGTGGAAATAAAAAACAGTGAAGTCTGAGACGATTGACTGACATTTCGCAAATGAAATATTTACTGTAGGGTTCTCGGATTTTACTAAAATGTTCTGTAATTTTGTGTCCAAATACATTCGATTGTCCCCACTTGTGTTCTCGCCGTTCACTACAGTATTGTTTATAGTTTCTAAATAATCTCGTTGAGCGGTTCATTTTCAAATTTGACAAAAATAAATCAGTATACTTCATCGTCAATGTTTCGTTTGATTAATAAAAATTATGTGATCATTAAGGAAAAATCTTTTATTCACGTAATAAATAAAAGACTTACTAGCACCATTGATTTATAGACATTTGTTTGGGCAAGAATGTAGTATGATGAACAAGAACCGTGTGGAATACGGTAAGAATATAAAGAAACACTAGAAAAGTTAAATTTAGTGCAAGAAAAATGAAATAATTAATCATAATGCCTTTGCAAAAAAAAATGAATATAACTAAGATATATGTCGCTACCTAGATGTTTACTACTTGTCAATAGGAATAATTTTCTAAAATACCGGATTTGAAAAACTGAAATGGTTAATAATAGCCTTAACAGTCGTTACAACCCATAATATCATTACTGTGTTTAATTTTTTGACCGAATTGATGAATTTGAGGTCGTCTGTTAAGGAGGAATAACATGAATGAGTTCAGTGACAACTACGAAATGTAATGACCGAATTTCGTTGTAAGTTTACTTGACTTTTTAATTTCTTCTCTAGTCTGCAATTTATGACATTCACAAGATAGTTCTGAAACAAATGGATAGTGATCATTAAATTTTGTGTGATGAAAAATCGAACTAAATTCGCCTGATCAGTGTTCATAAGCATCATGCATATATTTGCATTAAATAAGATAGAGATATTCGTACAACAACTGAAAACACACAACTGCATTACCTCTTCATGCTACATAGTTATAAATAATTGGAAATCTCAAGTATCTGAATACTGCGGGTGACATAATTGGCATGTCAGATAAGGAGTGTCTAAATAGTTAAAGCGAAGCAAAGAATATACTATTCTTAATCATTCTAGTGTTATTATAAAATTAATCTAACTGTCAAACCATCACATATATAAAGTAAGTATTTAGTAGTTTTCAGTCAAATGATATCTAGCCTTTAGGATCTGAAAAAAAAAATCGACGGCTCTGTATTTTGTGACGGAAACACTCATAGATTATAGAAATCCTGTAATAAACCTGAAGATAGTGAAAAAGTTTTGTATGCGATTCCATAAGCTCTAATAATGTTCATTGAGACTGTGATAAGATTTAGTTGATTTTGATAAAATAAAAATAATAAAATTGCTGTAAATTTCTCCAGTTAAAGTTGTTGATATTTTATTTCTCTTCAAAACTTTAGTTTTCATGATTTATTCAAATCATTCCATTAATGTATCTACATTCAGTTAGTAGAAAAGCAGAAACTAGGTCTTACGTATCCATATGTTAATGGAATTACTTATACGGTAACTCATTAAAAAAATGAAGCAGTTTTCGTATTAAAATTTGTGTGCACAAATTACATTTATCACATAAAATTTCTGATAGCTGTTATTCATTTCCATGATATGAACTTGTTTCATATACGAAGAAACTACTTTCCTGTCATAAAAATAAAGACTGTAGTTCGTCATGAGGAAACTTCTGAGAAAATTTCCTTTTCGACCATATTATTTTCTGAAGCTGTACAACCGTATTTATACGTAATTTGTCACATGTAATGATGTATGGTAAAACAGAGAAGTATTACAAAATTATCAAAGAAAGTCAAACTTGTTCAAATGGAAGTCAACAAAAATGAAGTGATGTTGAATAATATAGTCAGGATTATCGAAAATTTCCGGCGTTGAATATAATAATTCATGAATAGAAGGGTGTCATTTCAATGTAATTAACGTTTTCAAGTATTGAATGAAAAAGGGTTGGAATCATTTAATAAAGTAATTCACAATCATCAGGAGCATACGTTTTGTTATAGTTTTGGAAGTAATAAAAGGTAATAATCTGTGGAATAAAAGATAAACATAACTGTTTACTTAATAAAGGAAAAGAAGAAGAAGGTAATAATTAGCGATTATAATTTGTAAAATTCAAAGGGATTGTTGGATCATGGGAAAATAAGTGACTGAATGTTATTCTTTTGTACAACTACAGATACAGCTTCAGAAAATAATACCATTGAAGAGAAAATTTTCTTGGTCGAAACGTTTTTATTCCTTTTTCAATGAACCAATAAATGTCTTTCGTTTTTTAGTTTTAATATACATTACGTAATATTATTATCAGTATTATTAACACAATATTTTAAATAACATTATAACTTACTAGAATGACTTAAACCAGCAGTAAGGTTATGATTTAAATTGAAAGGATCTACAAACGTAAAAAACAAAGAGAAATAAGTATACTCACAATTAATCATCCGTTTAGGGACAACAAGAAAAATGTATGTTAAAAACAAAAAGAGATTAAGCGTAGTATAAATTATATATATATATATATATATATATATATATATATATATGGAAGCAGCAAACCCAAGGTCCGAAGACGAAGTCGTACTGCTAACTACATAAAGGTGTGACGACAGTAAGGTGTTTCTTAAGACAACCAGCATAACAGCGATGCTGCCTACCTACAAAGAAGGATGAGGTTCGAAAAGCTCGACCCTTAAAATACACACCTCGCCTTATCCCACGGATATCCATCTCCGGTGATAAGGTCTCAGCAAATACGGAGATAACACGAAAATTACCCATTAGAATTGAACTAAATGCAGAGCAAACCGAAAGTAGATTTCAGTAACAACTGAGGTCGCACTTATGTATTTCTGAAAACGAGGCTGACCGGATATTGCTTGGACAGATATGCGAACTGTTGTAAAAACAGCAGCGACATCTATTAGAGACTCAAACCAAAGGCTCACGAAAAACAAATGAATTCCTACTAAGTTTCGTGCACTGATAGATTCTCGTAAACTCATCCCATCAGGCTGCGAACACGATGAAGAGCGAAAACAAATCAGATCTAGGTTAAACAAAAGTCTGACGAACGACCATGAGTAGGGGTGGGCAACAAAATCAAAAGAGATGGAAAGGGCAGCGGCTGTAGATAACACCACATAGCTTTTCAGACTAGTAAAAGAAACTGGAATTAAGAAGTCAAGTGTAAGTGAGACGATCTCGGCAAAAGACGACACTTTTATCTGTTCTCAGTCCAGACGTTTAGAACGATGGGAGGAACACTTTAGAGAACAGTTTAGCTGGCATTCAGTTTCCCTACAAATACCCATCATTCTCAAACAGCCTGAATGGCACACTGAAGTGTGTCCTCCGACTCTAGTTGAAGTTCAGAAAGCTACAGCTAATCTGAAACGAGGAAGAGCAGCTGATCCAGATGGATCAGCCCCAGAAGTATTTAGGGATGGCGGTCTAGTTTTAGCGATTAGGTTGACGAATATTTTAGCTAAACTCTGGCAGTTGGACGTAATCCCATGTGACTGGTCGCAATCACTGATTGTCACAACATATAAGAAGGGGTCAAAATCATCCTGTGATCACCATAGAGGAATTAGTTTGACTAACATAGCATCTAACATACTAACCTCAATAATTGTCGGATGTTTAACAAAGACTCGAGAACTTCAAACATGAGAAAATCAGGCTGGTTTCAGACCAGATCGTGGCTGCATCGACCACATATTCACCATTCGTCAGGATTTGGAACATAGGCATATTTATCGGCTTCCGACAATGATGGTCTTTCTTGACTCAAAAGCAGCATTTGACTCCGTATACCGAGAGGTTCTGTGGCAGTGTCTGTCACTACAGGGTGTACCTCAGAAGTACACAAACCTTGTGAAGGCTCTTTACTCGAACACTACTAGTCGAGTCAGAGATTCTGGTGAACTGTCATCTGATTTTCCAACCTCAAATGGTGTCCGTCAAGGCTGTCCACTTTCTCCATTTTTGTTCATTTTCATCAAAGACCTACTGATGGAAATAACGATGTCGTCGACTGAAGTTTCGGGCATTGATCTCTTTTCATGAGGTCCACTTATCGACTTAGAATATGCAGATGTCATAGTCCTGTTTAGTGAAAAAACGCTGATAAAATGCAGTGTTTTGGTAGCACTGAGCAACAACGCCAAGATGTATGACATGCGTTTCTCCCCCTCTAAGTGCAAGTTGTTGCTCGAGGAGTGGTCTGCGTCAACATCTGAACTAAGGATATAAAGTGAAGTAGTTGAACGCACTGACAACTTCACTTATCTTGGAAGTCTGATCAGCCCTAATAGGTTGTTGTTTGAAGAAATCTCAGGACGGATTCGAAAAGCTCGTTTGGCTTTTACCAACGTACGTCAACTATGACGAAGTCGAGATATTCATCGATCAGTGAGGGAACGAGTATAATGAGCAGTAGTTCGTTCTGTTCTACTTTACGGCTGCGAAACGTGGCAATCAACCATAGAAGATACTCGTAAGTTATTAGTATTTGATCACAGATGTCTTAGGAATATTGCTCGCATCTGCTGGGATCACTGGGTAAGTAATAGTAAGATTAGACGGAGGTTATTAGGGAATGATGGTCAATCAGTTGGTGAGGTTGTGAATCTTCAATAACTGAGATGGTTGGGCCACGTGTTACGTATGTCTCAACACCGATCACCACGCCACGCAATGCTGACTAGTGTTGAAGACGGTTGCAAGAAAGTTAGTGGTGACCAAACCAAAACGTATCATCAGTCCTTCAAGTCATTAACTTCTGTTCTTAGCCATCTTGGTAGATGCAGACTACTTGGTCTTTTCAATTGTGTAAACGTATGATATTTTGGCACTGTTACGTAACTAATAACCTAAACTATATAAGAATTCACGCGAACTTACAAATTATTCACCTCCATCTTGAAATATAGTTAAGTAATTTAATGTACACCGTTCAACTATACTCAAAATATTCATGCTATGTAACGAAAAACAAAAATTCAGTACGATGTTCGAATGTATGCACAATCATTTTCTATCTGAAATCGAAACACTAGAAGAAATACCTTGAAAGTACAGAGATAATTTATTCTGGATGGAAATTCCTATAGTGAAAACATAGGCGAAGAAAAGTGATGATCAAGTGGTGTGTGTGTTCATACTGTGAGCATCAATAAAAGACGTAGTGAATTTTCGAAGTGCTTCGAATGATCACTTAAAGATGGATAGAAATTTCTACTCAGGCTTGGTGATTAAGGATTTTAAAGGTTATCCAATAATATCGTGATATATATATATATGGTCGACTCACCTTCAATAGCGAATAATGATCTCCACATTTTCACAAATCGTATTAACAAATTCTTTTGTCTGATAGTTACAACATATTTATCACGATTGAACTCGAACAGATAATAACGTAGAAATCCCAACCACATTTCTCCGACTGATTGGGACGGATTAGCTGGTTTCCACAAACGATTCTAATGCGTATATACATATACATATAGGGAGGAATAAGAAAACTTTAGTACATATAATAAGAGCACGAATTCGTTACAATTTAAAAGATAAATAGAATAATGTGAAATTAGTGGAAAGTTTAGTGATACAAAGTTATTTAGCTCAATTTAATAGGTTGTAAGGTTCCAATTAATGATAGGTATAAACGATAAGGAGATCTGGAACGAAAGAAATCGTTTTTAAAACTAAGTAACTGTTTACTCATGGAATTCTATCAACTTGATATATTTCAACATAATTCGAATTTTATCTAGGGTAAACCAGTATTAAACACTTTTACTCATTTGAAACAAGTAAACTTAAACTTAGAGCATAAGTTTATAGATTAAAATCTAGCTTCATCGATTTTGTGGTTCAGGTGAAAAGGGAAACCATTATGCTTAAAGAATAACTCAGTCCATAATGTTTGACTAGGTAAATGAGTTAGATTAAAGCATGAAAATTAGATGGATTTGAAGCCAATAGATATAAGAATAAAATATGAGAGCTGGCACTGTATATAAATGATTACATAAACTTAATTTGCGTAAATGTATCATCTGAAATTTTTATACTTGATTAAATCAACTGTATTTGGAATGAATCATTTTGTTGGGGTGAGAATAAACTCCACTCTCATTCGCCATTCCGACCGTGCACTTGGCGACCAACCAAAATGAAGCAATAATTATTGTTTACATTATCTTCAACCATAATGGAGAGTGGTTTTCATCATTTGTTGTTCTTGCAGGCTTACACAAAAAATTTTAAGTTTTCTACAATGAAAATACCACTCCATTATGCTACGAAAGTGTCATGTGTAGCTCAGTCATTCATGATGGGAGAAAAATTACAACATAGAAAAAGTCATACCTCCAATTCACTCCATGATAAAAATTATTTCAAACTATCCGAAACTGAGTGACCAAATAAATAATAACTTTATAGGTATCATTACCAAGGTTTAGCTTGACAATCACGAATAAGTTGAGCATTGGGTAGATTGTTATAAATAAATAATGTATTTTTAATATCCCAATGAGCATAAAAATTGGATTTTCTACTCATTGGGATATTACAAATAAATTATTTATTTAAAAAAAACTTTATTTACTGACTATGATACACGTAGATGACTTGGCAATGTGGAGTTTATCTCCTGTCGCATTCTGTCAAAACATTTTTCGAAAAATCAGTATTACAAGGATTTATTCATTTTAATTAATCTCATTTAGACCATGTGGCTGATAATTGATTAGTATATATACGGATACGGAGGATCCACCTAAGGGGGGGTTGGAAAACCCTGATTCCAAACCAATGGTGCACATGGGCTCCAGTATCCTGCGGGAACAAATGGCGTATGAACCATTCGTGGGTCACCGGCTACCATGAGACTGCATCTCATTGCGTTGCTCCACTGCCTTGTCAATTAGACCTTTATATCAAAGGCTCCGAGTATGCCCCTCAAAGAAAGCCACCTTCTTCGGTCTGGGCACCCGAGCAGTATCGCAGCCGTCATACAAATAAGCTGAAGTTACTAGAAATACTGTACTTTCTCCAATTAAAATTCACGAAACTCACATCCATTTGACAATATTCATTTTTATTTCTTTGATATACATCACTTATCTACTCTCTTCTATTCTCACTATGCATATCCTTATTTTTCAACTTATACAGCAGCTCGTCTATGGTGATAACCCTGTTCCATCTAAACGATCTCAAGTCACTGAATGGTCGAAATTTGAATGCTATCATCAACTACGAATACTGAAACATTGTTTCTGAAACCACGTACACCATTCAAACTGTCCTCCTTTAAAGCTCGCACACTAAGACAGATCGGACAACAGATAGGATTGACTATATCTTTAGAAAGTCATAACATCGACGTATGTTATCTATCAGAGACCTGTATTCAAGACTTAAGTGAAGTAATAGAGATTTGTTCTCCATCTGTCGCTTCAAAAATCTTGTTTCGCGTGCATTTATCCGAGGACCCTGTGGCATCTTCGGCTGGTTTTGCAGACACTGTCGCACAAGCTTTAGAGACGAGGCAGAACTAATCGATTGGATCCCCAACAACAGTTGGTTATATGCTGCCTGATTAAAAAGTTCCATCAAAATATGAGGAAATTGGTACGAGAAACGACGTCTTTCCAGCATCTCCACATACGCTACGACAGACTTCATCAGGGATGAGATCAAAGATGAGCTTTATAATTAGTTAACTGTTCTTCCACAGAAAGTGAGTTCGACAGACATTGTAGTACCAGCCGGGGACTTCAATACTCAGGTCGGATGTCTAGGCACAGAAGAGAGTCGTTAAGGTAGCCGATGGGGACTTGGTGGTTGCAGGTCGTATAACGGTAACCGTCTACTGCAACTCTGCGGAGAGTAAAACCTATTTCTGCCTAGCACTAAATACCGGCACAGTCATCAAAGTTGGGTTACCAGGCTTCTCTCTGCATCTCAAACCTGAACTAACATTGATGTCGTGTGGTTGTGTATAAGACTGCCTTTCGTTTTGGAGTGCCTAACTGGACTCTGATTGTGCCCTTCTTTGCGTCAACAAATTCATCGTACTAAACAGATTGATGTAAGTAATTATCAGGTCGAGCTAGGTCCAAGGCTAGCTACCATCCCACTGAAAAGTATAGGTGAGCATTGGTACAACTGCTTGCAGCTTCGCGAAAAATCCCGCCAGCAAGCAATGGGCTTCTTCGGGTTCCTTACAACTCATTGAAACCCGTCGGTCTACTCCGGGTGACTTCGAGTTCGACCACAAACGATGGAACAGTGTAATCACACTGTTGCGGAGTCCTATAATAAAACGGAACAGCTCTCCAGTACTTTCTAATCATCAATACTTTCTTAGATAAGGGAAGAAGAAATGTGTATATAGTTAAATAGACTTTGTTAAACACGGCATACAATGTATTTAAATATGTGAAACCTATCTTAAACAGCTTTATACTAGAGATACAGAAGTTACACTTGCTAGTTTAGAAATAAAATACAGTAAGTAAATGTTTACTTTGTAAACGACTGGACGTTACCGCATGAGTTAACACAATTTTTCCTAAATCTCTCAAAACAACACTTGGCAGATAAACTTCAATGCCTTTCATTGCCATTTCCAACATATCTAAATAATGTTCACAAAAGTATCAATCAACGAAATAAAAATTCCGATATGATGTTAAGAAATACGATTAATATAGTCTCGTCGACAACATCAATGACGTGGAAAATATGAAGATCATATTAGCTATAGGAATAAACCGCTTTAAAACCTATTTTTCGAATCCCCTCTTTCTAAAGTCCGTTAAAGTTTTAAACATCACTGTTTTTGGAATGCTACAAGCAACCACAAAAGTTGAAAAAAGCTTGCGCAATGACCGAGAAACCTGGTGATCGGAGCGTGCCGATGAGCTGGAAACAGCAGCTGCATCTGATAACTGCCGGAAGCTCTTTCAACTCATTCGGGTCACTGACAGCAAGAAGTCTAGTGTCAGTGAAACAACCTGTAAAGATGATGAGATGCCAATCAATGAAACATACAGACGTCTTGGACGATGACCAAAACTTTTCGAGAGGCAGTTCAACTGGCCTGCTGCTCCGACATCGATCGGACTGTCCTGCCCTTAATAGCCTGTGACAACTGATCCACCGATCGAGGCGGAAGTCCACAAGGAACTCCAACTCTTGAAGCGCTACAAATCAGCAGGCCCAGATAACTTACCTCCGGCTCTGTTTAAAGATGGTGGTGACTTTCTGGTTAAGGAAATGAATACGTTGTTTACAAAGGTCTGGGAGCTAGAGAGTGTTCCAACATCATGGAATGGGTCGATAGTTGTTTCTATCTCTAAAAAGGGTTCACGTCGTTCCTGTAACAACTATCGGGAGATAAGCTTACTTCCGATTGCATCCAAGCTATGGGCTTCTGTCGTACTTCGTAGGTTGTTCACAACTCAAGAAAGTTTGACTAATGAGGAGGAGAATAGCTTTCATTCTGGTCGAGGATGTATTGATTATATGTTCACCCTCCGTCGAATGTTAGAACACCGTCACACTTGTCACAGACCAACAATCGTAGTGTTTCTTGACATCAGGGCTGCCTTCGATTCGTTGGATAGGAATGTTCTATGGGATTGTCTATTGAAGAAGGATGTGCCTGAGAAGTTTATTAACATCCTAAAGGCCCTATGTGCAAACACCTCAGGCAGAGTGAGGGCATACAACCACCTCTCTTCACTGTTCCATTCAAGCAGTGGGGTTAGGCAGGGTTGCTCAATCTCAGCATTTCTCTTCAACTTTGCCATCGATGATATTCTGGAAACAGCTCTGATGGATGTAAGTAATGGCGGTGTGGATCTGTTGCCTGGAGAAAGACTTCTCGATCTTAAGTATGCGGATGATATTATCTTACTGTGCGATAATGCCCAAACCATGCAATTCGCACTTAATCAGTTAGCAATCAGTGTCCGTAGGTATGTTATGTGCTTTGCACCTTCGAAGTGCAAAGTACTTCAACAAGACTGGCAGGACCCTGAATAATAAATAAATAAGTTCTTGATAATTAATAAGAACTGGTTATACTTACTATAACGGATAAATCATTTTGATACCAGACATTCCAACCGTTGACAAGATTAGTTGGTTTTGTTGATCCTTCATAAAGCTAAATCAGGAAGGAAAAATGAAAGAAGACAAAATACAGTCTAGCTGAAGATTTTCTTTTGTGAACACTCAATAATATGTCAAGTTTTTTTTGAAAATCAAACATTATTCTTCTAAAAGTGATTTAAAGTTGATCAAGGCATATATATACAGGTTATTGTTTTTACTTCTTGTAAAACAGGGAGTTGATCAATTTGTTGAAGATAGTGGATTAGCATAATGATCCAAGCATAAGAAGAAATACCACCGGCAGCTGCTCTCCCAATTTTTGTTATCTATGAAAAAGCAAGAAAAAAAAGAAATATTGGTTGGTGAACAATCCCCAAAAGTTAACTTTGAGATTATTTAATTTAAAAAATTCTACAGAGTAATCAATCAAAGATAGGAAAAGGGTAAATGAATTAGTATTTTACATTACGTCGGAAATTTCATTACAAACAAATTTAAATGCATTGTAGTTTTCCTTCTGAGTATTTCTGAAAATATATTAATTTATTTATAACAATTTAACCAATGCTTAATTAATTCGAAATTATCAAGTCAAACCTCGGTAATGATACTTATGAAATGACTGTTATCGTAAAACAATCGCCGACTTTTAATAAACAGATAGAAAAGTCTAAAAACTTTGTTTTAAATAACAGCTAACAACCTAGAAAGTTATACACTTTCACGATTATACTAGGATAGTTCTGCCTGGAGCCTTTCTAAGGTTACTTTCGGTCCTACACCCGGATAAAAAGCAGGATTTTTGTAAGAGGTTAACAACTTCATTCTGTAGAAAGCAAACATTGCTGAGAAAACTCTAACCATGAAAAAGCATTTATTTATTGTAGTAAAGTGAAATACTTTAATTAAACTATGGTAATAGGAACAAACAGTTGTATAATAACAGGTCGACATTTAGAAAAATATAAAAATGTATTACCTTTGTGACAGTTTTTAAAGCAATTCCTAGAGTACGAAGTTTTGGCTCAACTTTAGTGTAAAATGCAAGCATTCGTGTATTTGAAAGAGCCTACAAATGTTTAGATAAGAAAATATAGAATAAACAGAAAACTAAATGGCATTAATTACGTAATCTGACAAGTACAATGTTTCGCTGTTTAGTTTTATAATAGCAAGAATGACTAATATTATCCGAACAACAGTTAAAAGTCACAAACTCAGTACTTGTACATTGTTTCTAATCTTTTATTAAATAGATCAAAGCTTTATGGCATAACACTAAGAATTTCACGGAAAAAAAATTCGATAAATTATATTGATGCATTAAAAGGGTTGACGCAGGACTGTGAAGGTAACGACAAAAAGTTTATTTGTTGGATTTAATCCTTCCTACTTGTCCAAAGAAGTCCACTTATTACATCTATAGGTTAAGAGTTTGGTGAAATTCACTATCGATTTCATATAAACTGCAGTCAAAAAGTGTATGACAGGAAACTACGAACAGATTTTAGTGTCCCACTGTTTCTTTCTTAGCAATCATTTGGCAGAACAACGCAAAGCCGACTGTGATGAGATCTAGTCAAAAAGTCAGCTTTTCGCTCTAAAGCCTAATCCAACCTAACGTTACATTTATAAACTCACGAAAACTAACTGCTGAATTCACAGATAGAAAATTGAACTAAACTGATTGATTGCATAAGACAGAAAAAGATAATCGGGTAGCCACATTGGATCACATATATCATAAAAACACTATAAATGAATATGTTTTACGATGCTATAGTTTTGAATACAGTTTTCCCAACCGATTCAACAAGTCAATTTAATGTTGGAAGCAGAGTTAAAAAGATATGTCAAACTGTGAGAATGATTGTGAAAAGAAAATGAATATACAAAAACAAACTAAGACAAAGAGGACTGAGGATGAATACATTTTTGTTGTACTGTGAATAAACCAACGAGTGATACTGTCTGGACCTAGACCATGAAGTTGAAATTTTCAAGAAATAGTTCAAAATAGAAAAGGAGTTGATGTTGATCAACCTCAGGAGAAAACTGTCTAAAGTCGGACAGTACAAAGAAAATTCTGAAAAAGAACTTATTGCCATTGATCATAATGTTCTATTCCCAATTCATAAATCTAAGTGCTACACATAACCCATTTCAAAAAAAAGAACAGCTTAGGTTCCATATCTAAGGAACGGTTACCACATTTATTAAAAGTTTAAGATAAATAATGCGCAAAAGTTAACTCGGATCTCCTATTCAAATATAGATATTTCCATGGTATTACTACTTACGGCTGATGGATTTGCTACATAAAAGTACCTATAGGTATCGACAGGACCAAAAAGCTACGTCCATTAAAATATGGTTTGAGGTGGCTGGAATATCTCATATACACTTGACTACACGTCCTAAATAGTAAGACATGCTTATTAAAGTTAAGACTGATCACATAGTGATCAATTCCCATAAATCTAGACTGTTAATCTTCATCGTATAAGGAGTGTTCGTTTCATTAGTCGCTCTTTAAAAAGTTGGTTCAAAAAGATCAAACTAACTAAATATGTCCATTTTTAGTCAAATAATTCTTTCAGATATCGTTAGTAGATAACACAGAGACACTGGTATAATAATAATAATAATAATAATAATAATAATAATAATAATAATAATAAAAGAAAGAAGAAGAAGAAGAAGAATAGTGTTCAACAGTCGTCATTAAAAGATAATTACCAGGTAATTTGAAAAACTTATGTCTGCTTCAAATGAATTGCTAAAAGACACTTTCAATATTGGAACACGAGCTGTGAGAATCGGTTGAATATGAGTAATATTTAATCGATTTCTACAATAAGATAATTGTTTTTTGAATTTTCGAATTAACTAAAACAAAACGAAAAAAAAAATTGAAACAGATGTCAATAACAAAAAAAAATCAATCAATTATGTGTAAAAACGAAGCATAACATGATAGAATGATTTATTAGTAATGGAAAATCAATTGAAAAATGGTTAGTTTAATTTTAAAATTAGTGAAAAAAAATATTATAATGAGTAAAATATTTGAAATTTTGTATCATTCGATTATTTTATATAAATATGCTGAGTTAATTTTTAAAAAAAATGAAGGTTAACATTTAACCAACTACTATGTATTCTTAAATTAACTAGTAACTATGACATAGATCAACAACAAAAAACGAATTGTTTTTAGAGGATATATTTATAGATCATGTTATAAATCCTAAATTATCTGCATGGATTCAAAAAGCTCGTTTGGTTTTTGTCAACTGACGTCAACTATGACGAAGGCGAGATATTCATTTATCAATTAGGGAACGAGTATAACTGAGCAGCAGTTCGTTCTGTTCTAATTTTCAGCTGTGAAACGTGGTAATTATGGATAGATGATACTCGTAAGCTATTAGTATCTGGTCACAGATGTCTTAGGAATATCGCTCATATCTGCTGGGATCACTGGGTAAGTTAATAGTAAGGTTAGACGCAGGATATTAGCGAATGATAGATCGATCACATTTGCATCACTAATAAACTTAGAAGGTCGAAGGAAGACATGAGAAGTAGGAGAGGAGCTGATGTAGCTTCAGATCACCATCTACCTGATGGCTGTCAAGATGAAACCGAAGCTCAAGGAGCACTGGAACATTGGGGAAACAGCATTACAAAGGTTCAATACAGCCTTCCTTCAAGATACTAACAAATTCAACGAATTCAAGATAACTATTAACAAGAGATTCCGACCCTTACGAGATTTACTCAAAGAAAAACAAACTACTATAAAGGACGATTGGGAAGAGATCCCAGAAGCTAGAACTTCAACGTGTCAAGAGGTTCTGGACCTCAACAAGCATCATCATAAGGAACGGATCCTTATGAAAACACTGGACGAGATCCAAAAAAGGAAGAAAAAGAAGACAGCAATTAACAAAAGCCGTACAGGAACACAAAAACTCAAGGCACAAGCTGAATATATTGAAGAAAACAAGCAAGTAACAAGGAGCATTAGAGCTAACATTTAGAAATACATGGAAGACCTAAAATTGACAGTGGAAAAAGCTGCAACAGAAAGAAATATAAGACAACTATATGACAGAACGAAGAAATAAGTAGAGAAATATAGTAAACTAGAGAGATTAGTCAAGAACAAAGAAGGCAGACCAATCACCGAGATTCAAGAACAGAGGAATAGGTGTATAAAGTACTGTGAGAAACTCTTGAATACGCCAGATCCATTCAATCCACTGGACATCGAGGCAGCACCTACAGACGTCACTCAACCTAGGGTCGATAGCTTTTGATCTGCACTACGAAGGACTTGACACACACGACATTGATCACCACCCAGTGATCAATCAAACTCGATTACATCTCAGCCCTACAGTAGGTCAGTCGCGGCACGGATAGCCTAGTGGTAACGTCCCTGACTGTGAAGTTGAGTGACACGGGATCGAACCCGTCAAAAAGCACCAGTTCCCTCAAGATTACAGGTATACTTTGCTGACAAGTGCCAAGTAGCACGAAACACGGGTTCACAGTTTCCTGTTGACTACATCCAACCACTATCTTATTTAGAAGGGGAGAAAAACATCCCTAACATCCTGGCATTGTTGCTCAGTGCTACCAAAACACTGCATTTTATCAGCGTTTTTTCACTAAACAGGACTATGACATCTGCATATTCTAAATCGATAAGTGGACCTCATGAAAAGAGATCAATGCCCGAAACTTCAGTCGACGACATCGTTATTTCCATCAGTAGGTCTTTGATGAAAATGAACAAAAATGGAGAAAGTGGACAGCCTTGACGGACACCATTTGAGGTTGGAAAATCAGATGACAGTTCACCAGAATCTCTGACTCGACTAGTAGTGTTCGAGTAAAGAGCCTTCACAAGGTTTGTGTACTTCTGAGGTACACCCTGTAGTGACAGACACTGCCACAGAACCTCTCGGTATACGGAGTCAAATGCTGCTTTTGAGTCAAGAAAGACCATCATTGTCGGAAGCCGATAAATATGCCTATGTTCCAAATCCTGACGAATGGTGAATATGTGGTCGATGCAGCCACGATCTGGTCTGAAACCAGCCTGATTTTCTCATGTTTGAAGTTCTCGAGTCTTTGTTAAACATCCGACAATTATTGAGGTTAGTATGTTAGATGCTATGTTAGTCAAACTAATTCCTCTATGGTGATCACAGGATGATTTTGACCCCTTCTTATATGTTGTGACAATCAGTGATTGCGACCAGTCACATGGGATTACGTCCAACTGCCAGAGTTTAGCTAAAATATTCGTCAACCTAATCGCTAAAACTAGACCGCCATCCCTAAATACTTCTGGGGCTGATCCATCTGGATCAGCTGCTCTTCCTCGTTTCAGATTAGCTGTAGCTTTCTGAACTTCAACTAGAGTCGGAGGACACACTTCAGTGTGCCATTCAGGCTGTTTGAGAATGATGGGTATTTGTAGGGAAACTGAATGCCAGCTAAACTGTTCTCTAAAGTGTTCCTCCCATCGTTCTAAACGTCTGGACTGAGAACAGATAAAAGTGTCGTCTTTTGCCGAGATCGTCTCACTTACACTTGACTTCTTAATTCCAGTTTCTTTTACTAGTCTGAAAAGCTATGTGGTGTTATCTACAGCCGCTGCCCTTTCCATCTCTTTTGATTTTGTTGCCCACCCCTACTCATGGTCGTTCGTCAGACTTTTGTTTAACCTAGATCTGATTTGTTTTCGCTCTTCATCGTGTTCGCAGCCTGATGGGATGAGTTTACGAGAATCTATCAGTGCACGAAACTTAGTAGGAATTCATTTGTTTTTCGTGAGCTTTTGGTTTGAGTCACTAATCGATGTCCTTATGTCTAAAATCAGTGTTTGCTAAAAATAAGCGATTACCTGAACACAGTTGCAGCAGATGATCACCATTATCTGTTCGTTGAGCCGGGATACTAAAATACTCACCTCAATGTCTTTCTGTTTGAGTCAATATACTTACTTGAGCATTAAAGTCATTTGATAAATGTACTATGTCCTCAACGTGAGACAACAGGCGTAAGTGTTAGGGACTGATGGTCAATCAGTTGATGAGGTTGTGAATCTTCAATAACTGAGATGGTTGGGCCGCGTATTACGTATGTCTCAACACCGATCACCACGCCACGCAATGCTGACTAGTGTTGGAGACGTTGCAAGAAAGTTAGTGGTGACCAAACCAAAACGTATCATCAGTCCTTCAAGTCATTAACTTCTGTTCTTAGCCATCTTGGTAGATGCAGACTACTTGGTTGCAGTTCGCGTGACTATCGTAAACAATGGCTGGACACCCAGGGTGACTTGATTTTGAATCGATCACAATGGAGTAGGTGTATACACTTTTAGATTTCCCTTAAACCAAGAGATTAAAATACTTTATACCAATTATTTTCCCTGTATCATATCCTTACATACAATCTTTATTTCTATATGTTAATATCATTGAAGTAACTACTATGAATTTGATGTTGATCTTGCTGTTTTAATGAAGCATGGTAACTTGGACGGATGGATTACAAGTCTAGACTTATGAAACTTGTAAATACATTTTAAATACTAAAACTTTGATAGAATTTAATTGATTTCGTAATGAATAACAATACTACTCAGTCATTTAAGTTAAATTAGGTGAAATAAACTTGAAACTATGATATTATGAATGATGTTGCAATAATTCAACGTCTAACATCAGCTATAAGAATTTTCAATGTCTCTTAAAATACGTTTTAAGAAACAGACATCATACAAAAGATAGAAAAAAAAACAGTTATCATTAAAGTAGAATACCTTCCCTTCTAAACTTACTATTAACTTATGTATTACTATCAATTATGAAGTATCGAATTCGAAACATGTTAACATTACAACAGATTAAAAAGTCGATTGGTTTCACTAAACCTCACATATAAACATTGTGGCCTAAAATCTTAGTAGTGGATAAATGCAAAACACTAGTTAATTAGACTAAGAATAAAATAAACATTCTGATTAATACACAATATCTACCATATTTGTTGAATTCTTATCTTTTAAATAATGCCATTCCGTTGATCCAACAGGAAAAAAGACACAAACATCTAAATCACTTGTCTGCAGATCAAAACCATTAGCGCAAGAACCAAATAATTCAAGTTGAACAGAAGGGAAACGATATGAGAAACATTGATGAATCTTTTTAACAAGTTCCTAAGAAATGGTAAACGAATTGTAAAAAAACAACATGAAAATGACATCACCAAAAGTAAAATACTGCAAATAAAATCGAAAAAGTTATTAAGTACAAATTAAATTGTTTTTAATTGTCTTTAATTGTTACTCTAACTTGTGAGCTATTCTTTCTTTCAATATGTCATACATAAATTTTAAAAATATTTACAATCATGGTAAAGTTTTCGAATGCAAACTGATAATATATTTCTCTTCTAAATGACATGTACATTCTATAGAAATCTTCCTTACGACCTTTAACATATATATATATATATATATATATATATATATATATATATATATACGCTTCAAGTTTTATGATCATTGATTTCGTTTATCAATTTTCCTTTATTTTCTAGTCGTCTAACACTAACAATTTAACGCCAAATGATTCAAATCCAGTCAATCATCTATTACTGGAAGGCCTTTTCATTTTAATATGAGAGGGTCTACTAGTGTTTTCAGGTTTTCAATGGTGGTCTAACATTCATCGGTTTATGATGTGTGTTATACCCTGATGAGAATTATGAATGGTAAATGTTGGGATCGATTTCTAGACCAATACGATGCATATATTTTTATTGTATAATTGTTAAGTAACTAAACTACTCATATTCGTGTTCCTCTTCTTATAAGCTTTATTTTGACCGATGAAATATTATTATAAGATTTACCATTCTTGAGTTATGCCCAGTCAATCAATTGCTATCTCTCACATTCACAGCCACTTTTGGCTAGATCTTGTTCGAATATTATTTTCTGTTTTATGGTACGATATGGTCTGTTTGGTTTGTATATAAACTCAGTATGTTTGAAATATATAATTCATATCACAGAGGCTGAGATTGATGTTTTGAACTTAGCAGGCAGGAAGCAGGACCAATAAAGACTCTAGACTGCTCGTACGGGTTTTATGCGTCATTGGTCCAGTTGATAATTCACTGTTCTCTAATTGGCGGTATCACTACGTTATACATTGATAGAGGCACAATGCCACAAATTATAAGAATCTCAATAAAACTCAACAGTTTCCACGACCCTAAACTTATTCATTCTTTTATTTTAATTGTTTCATTTGCTTCTTACCATATTACTATTATTTTCTAGCGATTCCACCTCATATCATTACCCGACGTTTTCGGACGTAATGTATGGGAAATCCAACCTGTATATATAACACTTGCACCTATTTATTTGAACACATAAATATTGGTACAAGAGGGCAGCAAATATATATGCGCCACACATTATTTCCATTATATTTGTGTGTGGGCTGTGATACTGTCCGGGTACCCAGACCGAAGCAGGTGGTTATCTTAGGGGGCCACACCCCGAGCCTTTGACCTAAAGGTCTAACCCACAAGGCAGTGGAGCATCGTGAGGAGATGCAGTCCCATGGTAGCCGGTGACCAACGATTGGCTCATGCACCATTTGTTCCCGCAGGATACTGGAGCTCATGTGCACCACTGTTTTGGGATTCGGTTAAAGCGCTGGACATTCGCTTTTCGTCCTCTCATTTTCGTAAACAACACCCCCGCCACGAGAAGGCAGTGAGTAGGACTTCTCTGGCAGAGGCTGTATATGCGTGGCCCTGTGAGAGCATTTCGAGAGGGAGGGTGGGTCCACCCCACTCTCGGCCATACCAGGGCATTTGCACCTAACCTTAGCTGGTCAGTATTAAATTTAAAGTAACTAACGCCTTAAAAAAAACTAGACTGATAGATAATACAACATTGAATTTAGAAAACAGAAAGAAAAACCGAGATAGATTGGGGGGAAAACAACAACAGTGATAACATCTAAGTAAATAACATACTTGACGTGCATTAACTTTATTATAAGTTTCATGATGTTCTTCTAAACAATTCAGGCAATAAGTTAAATTTTTAATTTGTTCAGCGATCGGTGGCCAAGGCGTTTTATTCAATAATTTATGCCATGCTAAAAATGATACGGATTTATCACTGGTAGTTTCACACTGTGATTGTCGATGACCAGTTAAGTTACAAGCTTGACATTGAGGTTGAGGTGCATCGAAATGAGCTAATAATGTGGATGGTTGATTTCGTGAAGCTAAACCTAAAACAGATGATTGATTATGTCGACGATTAGAGGATAAGTTCATATTTGAGACAAATTTAAAATCAAAATCGTCCGGTTGTAGATTCTCTAGAAGCTTAGAATTATAATAATCTGGACGATCATCATCAATAGGCTAAAAAGAAAAAAAGTAAAAATATGCAAAGGGTCAATAGGAATGAATAATTCACGAGAAAACTACTTATATTCATAAATAAATGAATCTAGTTTTTCCAATGATGAATTCACATCACACAGAAACTCCTTTGATGCGATCCACAAAAATTAGGTCTAACAATCAGGTCTTAATTGATTGGATGATAAATTTAGCTCATTCTGCACGTAGTTAGATATGGCCAACATCTCTATCTGTGAGGGCTAATGATACTAGCTGATTGCCCAAACAAAAGTAGGCGAGGAGGGCTCGAACTGGGGACCTAGTGGCTGAAAATTGAATACCCTCAACCGCCCCACAGAGTGAGTGTGGCCTCGAAACTAATTCCCCTCAGTTCCCTACAACATTTCATCACATTTATTTTGTGCCAATATTCTGTATGTAAGCACCTGATTTATTACGGAAAAAATCTATTTGTCTAACTAGTGGTATAGTCCACTATTCCTAATAATTCGGTGGTATACTGTAAAAATCAGTTCTCATAACCAGCTATTACTTGACCACATCGAATAATTGCTTTCGTTCATCGATTAGCACTCTATGAATTGATTATGACGGTATAAAATTCGCTCTTTAACTTATATAATCATGCTCTAGAGCACTGTTTGAGAGTAGATAAAAAGTATTGTTGAAAACTTATTATCATAAGTAAAAAGAAGCTGAGAGAACAGTGAATAGGGAGTAAAACCGTGAACATGAAAAAAATCTTTTCATCTAGAATAACATTGAGTCCTTTACTTTTATTTCGCAACCAGTAGATGGTTTATGAAACTGAAAAGAAACCATGAGGTTCTGTAACAAGCTAATGAAAACTGAAAATTGTAAAACGTACATGTGAATCAGATCATTTAAAAAGATGAAATTGACTATTTCGTAGCTTCAAAGAGGTTAATAATAATAATAATAATAATAATAATAATAATAATAATAATAATAATAATAATAATAATAGCTATTTAATGCAACCTAAAACTTATTTTCACAACTTCTTCAGCAGCTGTCTAGATACATGAAATACTTATCCAAATACAAGATATTAAAAGACAACTAGAGTCCTTCTACAGTTACCATTGGTCCAAACCCCGGGTAAATGTGGTTTAGGCAAAAGCCCAGCAACTACATTCCATAAAAAGGACTTCGCTAAAAAACGCCAACCAGAGATAAATGAAAATGTAAAAACTTCTAAAATAAATTAGGAATGTTATACATAAACTAAGTTGTTTTAGTCAAGATTAATAACTGAACCAATACATATCTATAAACAAATAAACTTACAGGAGCGACTGCAGAACGTGACGAAATCACATCTCCCCATTCGAGCTTTTTAGCTGCTTTTTTTTTCTTAGCTTTGGTAGGACTGAATTTCGATGCAGTTGTATTATTATTTGAATTCAACATATTGTTAGAATGACCTTGTTGTTTTTTCTCAAATTTACGTGCTTTTTTAGTCAATTTATTGTCACGTCTAGTTAGTTCATTTGAAGCAGTAACTAATTCATTTGATGGACAACTTATGGATGACAAATGGTTGACTTGATGTGAATCATTTGATGTTAAATTGTTAGTGTTAGACGACTAGAAAATAAAGGAAAATTGATAAACGAAATCAATGATCATAAAACTTGAAGCATATATATATATATATATATATATATATATATATATATATATATAATATATATATATATATATATATGTTAAAGGTCGTAAGGAAGATTTCTATAGAATGTACATGTCATTTAGAAGAGAAATATATTATCAGTTTACATTCGAACACTTTACCATCAATGTAATTTCAACAATAGTTCATGAAATCACTTTAATACATAATCTCAAGACAAGTAGTTGGATTTTTTAAAAAGGTTAGAAGAGGATGGGTAACATGAAACACTGTACAGAAAGTGTACATTTTAATTTACAAACTTTTCAACAGAATAATCCTGAAAATTACGAAACAGACAGAGATGCATAATAGTGATATGTTTGAGATTTAATAGATTTAAGAAGCAGTATCCATTAGTGTTATGTGATTCAGTTTGCAAATGTTTTGTAAACAAATAAATTACCTACACTTTAACAAACTAATTCAAATAACTGAACTGTCACACGAGTAACATCAAAATCCAATTGTTTAACAAATGAATCCAATGCTTGTTTAAGAATTTTTATCTAACCGCGTCAGGAAACGTAGCTCTATATACAGTACGAACGATTAAAAAAGATTTTGACTCAATTCAAAGTTTATTTTCAGTATTTATGACCATCAATCTTTGTTAAAAAAATAAGCTTGTTTGTACAAGAAGATAATGATTTAAAAAAGAAAAGATTGGAGCAATCTGAACACAAAATAGATACTTTATTGTCAGCGGTGACAAAAGGGCTTTCAACCTGGATGTTGTAGGTTTAAATTCTGTTTAAACTACTCCAGTTTGAGCAACTAAGTGACTTCACTAACCTTCACAGAAAAAATACGTCCATGATCCGAGTACACTAACCTGTACAGTGTAAATGAGCTAAGTGAAATTAAATTAAAAATCTATAAATAATTAGAAAGAAGGTAACCAACTTAAACCATCTCAATGTGACTTAATAGCCACAACCGTGCAGACATTTGAAATCATCTTGATTAAAAACAATTAACTATGACATCAAACACCTTAGTAGACGAAAATTTACGACCTCATCGAAAGGTTTGACATATTTACCTAGCACCTTGTACCTAGACTCAATATTGTTCACTCAGCTGTTACATGATACCTGAGCGATGCGCAGAAGACATTAATGATAAAAAGCTAGTACTCTATACTTCTGCTGACATACGCCCTGTTCCGCACCCTTAAGAAAACGAGAGAGTGATAATATTCAGTACACCAGACATCTGGCCTACTCCACAAGTGAAAGAGAGCCTTTTAAATATTTGCAACGGTTCCATAAGACACCAACTCACTAAGACTAATGAAACTATTAAGTTAAATAGCAAACACGCTCAAATACATTACAATTTATGATAATTCTAGGTAAAAATGCTAACCGATCCTGAAGTAGTATTTTCACTTAGATGAGTAGAAACACATCTCAAACATGCTTGAATTATCAAAATGTTCAGAAGAACGGATCACGTAACTAGATTCATCATATACATACGCCATGTCAATTAGTGAGTTTCCGCGTAAAAAAATCCACGAAAAGTTAGACGAAAAATCGTGATCTATAAGAGGAAGCTTATAAAAACATAAAATAAAAAGGGGATGGTGGCTAACGCTGACGAACATCATTTAACCGTTCCCCGTGAGCTGTGAATAGATCAATAATTTTTAAATAGAGACCCTTCTGTTATACCCTGATGAGAATTATGAATGGTAAATGTTGGGATCGATTTCTAGACCAATACGATGCATATATTTTTATTGTATAATTGTTAAGTAACTAAACTACTCATATTCGTGTTCCTCTTCTTATAAGCTTTATTTTGACCGATGAATATTATTATAAGATTTACCATTCTTGAGTTATGCCCAGTCAATCAATTGCTATCTCTCACATTCACAGCCACTTTTGGCTAGATCTTGTTCGAATATTATTTTCTGTTTTATGGTACGATATGGTCTGTTTGGTTTGTATATAAACTCAGTATGTTTGAAATACATAATTCATATCACAGAGGCTGAGATTGATGTTTTGAACTTAGCAGGCAGGAAGCAGGACCAATAAAGACTCTAGACTGCTCGTACGGGTTTTATGCGTCATTGGTCCAGTTGATAATTCACTGTTCTCTAATTGGCGGTATCACTACGTTATACATTGATAGGGGCACAAAGCCCACAAGTTATAATACCTTCACAAAGTTTACATACTTCGTTGATACATTGTTTAGAGAGAAACAATGATACAAATTATGTCAGTCAACAGAGTCGAATGATGCCTTAACATCAAGAAATAAAGCCGCGCTTGAATGTCGGTAATGCATCTATACGTTCTAAGACGTAAAGAATATTTAATCGACATCTCGAAGTTCAGGTCTGACACAAGTTTGGTTTATCCGAGTATGATGTTCTCAAGAACCAGATAAGCGTTGCACAATAAAGAACTGAATAAGTAGTCCACCAGATGATAGAAGTGGGTATTAGGTAATACATACGCTTAAATGTTGCGTTAAATCTTCAGTCGAATCAACTAATGAACCATATTTACCAGTATTATTATTTCTGTTTTAAGAATATGACAGTCATGAATTATTAGGTTGATGCACAACGCTCTGAAGTTTGTAGTGATAAATACTAACCTCGAGTCTCACTGGAGTCAACAACAAGGATTTAGGTACAAACAACCTAAAAATCTCAAATAAAACGAAATACGCATTCTGAACATCAATATTACATACTACGAAAATGTATTTGATAAAATATACACAATCTCAGTAAAACCATGAAACATTTTTGCACATAAACAAAGCTTACTTTGATTCTGTTTTGATTACTTCCTTGAGAAGTCAAAGTTTCTAAAAGTTCAGAATTTTTGTCAACAAAAGATGAAGATGTACTGATTGGATCGATTATATCATCATTATAATCTACATCAAGAGTACACTCTAAGTGTCCATATATTTCACCGTCATTAAAATCATTTTCTAAATTACAATCCAAAAAGGAATCATCTGAAACAGTCATACATATATCATATGGATTATCGACTTCCTGTAAATGATTGACTTCTTCAAGATTCGAATATTCGTCAACGTCAAGAAAATTATTTGTACTTTGTCTAACTATAGGCTCTGAATAATCATCTTCAATATTTTTACTTAGCAAACTAGAATCTTGATTCATTTCTATAGGAGACATTTGATGATTATATTGATCTTCAAATATATTTTCATTTGAACAATTCATTTTCTGTAAGTTTTCGGATAGAAAAATATAAGGTAATTTGAAATGAAATTAAGTGAATCATAAATGAGTAAGATAAGCGGTTTAAAAATTCAATACAATGAGTTTAAAATAGAGTTGTAAGAGGTCATCCTCAATGTATCTTCAGGACTTATAATCATAAAATTGCATTTGTATCTTATGCTCAAATGTCTACTTAAAATAATTAAACTAGTGTCATACTTACGACACCCTAGTTTACCAACAACAGGCTATAACTACTTCTTAGACGTAAACCTATTCCTGTCCTAACCAGTGTAGCATGTCGGGTGACCGGAAATTATAGTCATCAGTTGTTTTCTTTTAATAAAACAGAATATAAACAATATAAAAACAAAAGGTTACTTGTGATTGACCACAAGGTGAGTCAATTGAAATATCATTATCAACAACATTTTGTAGTTTTAAACGATCTAACCATAATTTAACACTCTAAAATAAAGAAAAAAATCAAAAATGAAAGAGACATTTAGACGGGCAACGAACGTTCATATAATGATACTGAAAAGGTTGAAAATAAATTTCCACAGTAACAAAAGCAACTAATATAATGCTAATCAGCAACCACGTACAAGTTAGAGAACTCAAATTCGGGATAGTGATATGGCATTCGAGTGATCAAACATAACTAGGTAGAATGGGATGAAAACCCGGGACACAATTGATAGGCATTAAGTGTTTTAAATAAGTCATCATAAGATCTACTAGGTAAAAAGACATTCTCTTTCTCTATGTGTTACAAGTGACATATCTATCATTTGCACGATTATCACATGCAAGTAAATTGATAACAGTATACATCGATATTCAAAATAAATGATGATCACAGAACTTGGCATACTTTCTTTTAAACTAAACATTGAGATGAAACCTATCACCATGACCTAATACCACTTAGTACTAGCAAATGCAGACAATCATTCTGTGAGGCTATATGTCCGATAATGCTGCAAAATTAACTAATATGTACGAAGGGTTGAGGAAACTTGGTTTTAAAAACGATATATACACAGTGAGGTTAGATTTTTTTTCCAAGTAAATAGACTTCTTAAAATATTTTCGAAAAAACAGTACCTGACTGAACTAGAACTTTTTAATCACCCACTCTTGATGAATCAGAATAATATCAGTATAACTGTTTGAAATGAAGTGCACTTGTAAAAACGATAGTCCTAGTCGGTGACTAACAAATAACTTGGAAAAAATTGATTGCAAGACTCAGTGCGGTAGAGATGACTGCAAATCAGTTTCGCAACTCAGTAATACAAACCAAATCATAAAATTATAAATATTTATATATAAATCGATGTACACCAATAAAAGTTAGCAACAGACATAACGACTACGTTGCAATTCACATTAATAAAAATACATACTTTACAAAATAACGACAAAGTGGTTTTTATGATGATTCTTTTCGATGCTGAAAACTTTCCTTTACTAATATATGTGTTGAAAAAAGATAGCCAGTAGTCATAAGCGAAATTTCGTGTAATCTGGATAAAATCATTCAAACTAAGCTTAAATGAAGACGATATGGGAACGAAAAATCTCTTTTCTGACATTTTCAAGCATCCACTGACAAGATCTTTAAAAATAATAAGAAAAACATGAGACCAAGCTGAGGTATGTATCAAAATTAGGATGATCAAAATGACTAAAAATAAGTAACAAGCTTTATTATCTTAACATTATCAAGATATGAAGCTAAAGTTGTCATTTTCGCCACTGAAGTGAAACCACATTTAAGGTTTAAACTTATTTTCATTCAGAGCAGTTAGGGCAACCTATCCATATGACTAGATCTTAGGGTATTAACTTAGTGGTAAAACTGTTTGACTTCCAGTCACTCTATTCCAGCCTTGGACATACTCCCGTTCATTTTAGATCGCGCAACTGGATGGTATATATATATTTGACAAATGAATGATATTGTTTTGTAGGCATAGAGTTGTGCAGATTGTTGAGTTTCATTGAAATCATGAACCGATTAGTGTCAGACCACCATTGAAAACCTGGAAGTACTGAGTGGTTTTTTCTCCCTAATATGGGACTCTTCAGCAGTTTTCATGCACGGAAATCGGACCAGGGACCTTCGATCTTATGCACGAACGCCTAATTTCCAGACTACAGGGCCGGTATCCAACAGTGTTAATCCACAGTATTGCTCGATCATCTTCATCATTGGCTTTTTCACATCCTGAAAAAGTGGTTAAAAGTCAGGTGTATGAATAAATGCCCGGTTAATGAGTTACAGTGAATTCTTGAATCGATAATACGTGAATCGGCAGATTGGTCTATAGGATTTATCAACAACTAAAATCAGGTAGAAATGAATTCATTTAGTATTGTTTGCTTGAATATTCGCATACCAATGTATTGAAAAATGTCAGTGTTCTTGGGTTAGACTATGTATGTGCCAAAAGTGAGCGCGAAGCTTTCATACAAAAAATAGAAATCATATTATTTTAAAGGTATTTTTATATGATTCCGCTAACGAATAATAACTTATCTCAATTTTCTGCCAATTAAAATTTACGAAGAATGCAGTATGGTGTAAAACAGTTATGTGAACTGTATATTATGTAATATGCTCGAGTGTCATTAGAAAGCTCTATTAAACTTAAATGTCCCATGGCGTTTCTTTCTAAATTGTATCGATGTATCTTTCGATAAAAACAGGAGACCGATAATGGACAAATGACAAACCCAAGCTTGTATTTTTACATAAACAAATAATTAACGAAGTTAGTCTACGTTTTCCGATGAATGTACAAAGCAACTAGTTGAGCATAAATATGAAGCAGCAATACAAAAAACAGCAAAAACAAACCGGGTACAATGTTTGACTCAAATAATTCATCCATGACATATGTAAGAATAGATGAAAACATTTCTGAAAATGGAAGAGCTTTCTGTTCAGCCATTGAATTATCCAATGCTGTGTGGTCAATAGTTGATGAACTCTCTAATATGTCTTCCCCAGTTGATGGTAGGACAGAATGTTTGATAGTGGCGCCGTTTGAAAGTAATTGAAATTTCTCTGTAATTAAATTTGTTACCTAGAAATGTTAAGCACAAAATATCTCTGACTATAGTAAAAAAGAAAGTTTTATAAGCGTTCTAGGCATCAGCAAGCTGTTCCATCGGAATAAAAATATAGAAAAATAATAATGAAGCTGACACTACATAAGTTTGATAATTGTACCTATTCTGTTCACTTTCGCTGGAGAATGGATATCGATTTTATAATAACCGGAACACATACATTATTTTGAACTAACGAACTTTAAAACAGAATACAACTCAACTCATATACCAAGTACAAATTAGTATACTCGGTTAATGATACTACCCTGCTTGCAAAAACCGAAGTAGGTGGAGCTGAGTTGGAACACTCAACTTAGTGGTCTCAAAAGTTAACCCGGAAATGCAGAGTCTAAAAACAGTACAGATAAATGAAAAAAACAAAATGTATATCCAAATTGAGACAAGTAACTCATCGTTTAGTGTTCAGTGTGAATGTAAATAAGCTAGAACAATAGATTTCGATAAATGCTAATCTATGTATCCAGATGACAAGTTCCGAAAGTAAAAGAGCCCCATACAAAAAGTCTATATCTTTTGAATGATTTAAATCACGAGAGAACAACATTATAGGTATTCTCTCTATTAACTGGATTGTAAGCCAATACATTTAATTATACTATTGCAAGTAAAAAGATAGACAATTAAATAAACAATTAGGATCAGTAATAATCATAGAGACTCATTTTCGCTAAATTTAAGAAGCAAAAGTAAGTAGCTGAAATATTTATTACGAAACAACAAACATTAAACGATCAGAGTTTCTGCGATAAACATAACTGTTACATAAAATGACGAAAAAGAAACTAGGATATGTTCTGACCTACTTTATTCAAATTTGATTCAAAATTGTCAGAATCATCAATGATAGGTGTTAAATGAATACCTGCAGATGCTGTCATTTTATCATTAGACATGGTTGTTTGACTGATACTACTACTAGTATTCTGATCCAACTTGTCACAAACATCTTTTGGCTCATCAGGGGATTTTTCAACAACAGAAATGTGTGTGAACAAATGTCGACCATTAGTGGCCAATCGTGGCACACCGAAATAACCGTAGGCCGCTAATAACTGTGAATTGATATAATCTCGACTGACTTGAGTTAAATTCCTACAGAGATTATGTTTAGGGTTAAAAGGATCTAGAAAAAAACAAGCCGTAAAAATGTTAGAGGCATTGGACAAATGAATTAAAACAATCAAAAAATGAGTAAGTTGTATGTACGAATAAATTTTGAATATAACCAAATACAGAATACTTAAGAAAAGAAGCACAAACATTAAATTATTCTGATGGATTACCATGATAAATTTAACAGAACTATTACTCAAGGCTATACTTCAGAAGATGAGCAACAAAGAAAAGGTACAGAAGTTAACTTATGAATCCCTCCAAAGCACCGTTAAACTTAGTGAAATCAGCGAGTGTATGATATTGTAACTAGATGTATACCAAAAGATATGACTATAAACGCGTACGAATTCGCAATTTTAGGTTGTGCTTTACCCACTTCCCATCGAAACAACCATTGATAAATATATGACGGCGATAAAACATGGTTGTACAACATAGTAATTCAATTGCAGTTAAAGATGTACGCAATTGAATGCTGGTTCAGTAGACTAAATACTATGCTCTCATCGTGAATGCTGACAGTCCTGTACCTTATCTTCGATGGAACAGTGTAATCACACTGCTGTGGAGTCCTATTACTAAAACTGAACAGCTCTCCGGTACTTTCTAATCATCAATACTTTCTTAACGAATGTCATCCCAGCGGACTCCATGTCTTGCACTATTTACCGACTCTGGGAACGGTTGGAAGAAGTGGAGAAGTGGTATGAAGGAAAGCTGTACAGGACTGGTTTCTGTTGGTCCTTCACGACTCCCTGATTGGGGTTCTAGAGATGGTGCAACACAGTGGCTTGAAACGTTATCAGACATGGTTCAAAATAGAAGCCAGTGACGATCCTACTGTAGCTTTCTTCATAAAAGTGAACGTAACTTCTTTAACTGTTTCTTTCATTATTATTATTACTATTATTATTATCTCACTCTCATACAATAATTTCAGTTCTTCATAACCTCATTGTTATTGTGTGGCGCATATGTATTTGGTATCCCTTTGTACCAATATTTATGTGTTCATCTTAATGAATAAATAAATAAATGTGACACATCATTAATCAGTTTACCATCTTTACCAGTACCCTGAGTATGGCCTCAACGTTTATCACTCGATGCTCCCAGAATACACGAGAAATGCTATAGAGGCATCTTAAATCAAACATTAGTAACCCACAAATATTCGCCATTCTTAATGGGTACATTTTATAGCCATAAAGCAGAACGGAACGAACTTCTCTGTCGTACATTACTGTGTAATTTTCAATGCGAACAGATAAAACCTTTAGTAAAGACTTCAACAGATCGCATGAGCAAGAAAAAGTCACAATTAGTATGTAGATACAGGCTATTAATATCTAAGTGATATAATCAATCAGGATGATGACAATAATTGTTATTAAAAGTATCTTTTTTTAATAGACATCACTTTTCACTTTTCGAAAATAATTTAGGATTGATGAAAATAAATTCGATTAAATATATATTTTAATTTACCGGTAACTGTAAAACAACGCTTTTCAGAAGCATTAAAACACGACACTGGTTCAGGTTCCACAATATTAATCGTACAAGAAGAAGTTTTAAAATCAAATAAATAAAATCTGAGGAAACCAAGCCATAAATCAGCTAAACATGGTAAATTGTTAGACGAAGATGAATCTGTGGAATGGAAAATGAAATATTTTGAATTTAACCAATATCGAAAAGAATGATTGTATTGTTATCAGGATTTACATTGATTATAACAAGAATTATTATACACTTCATTACCATAGATAATGTCACTATTTGAAATATGTGAGTAGAATGTGAAGTCGTTTTCAGGAATTACAAATCTACTACTGTTTAGACTTCACACAATGAAATATTTTATAATATCATTTCAACAATTAAACATTCATACTGGTGAAATCCAATTGTTTTTATAAATGAAGAAAATATTAACATATCCTGAATATGTTCGATATAGGTTGAAGTGAATCGTAAGTGTGAATCACTCAATTTTAACTTAAAAACTACCAACCTATCAACTGTGAGCTTATCGACTTAGCCTAGTTCAATGAATCAAATGTAATTGGATACCATATAGCACATTTTCCCTTTAATTTTGTCCACAAAGGCAACTAAAAAAAAAAGATTCAATTCATCAGAAAAATTATACATAAAGAGGTATTTATTGCAGACAGAAATAAAAGAGAACACAATACACGCACACATACTGAAATGAAACAAGTTGTTATCTAATGATTTCACCATACAAATTATGATGCTTTTAAAAATCAAATAACAGAAATTTACATGGTTGATCAGGACATAACTTTCGAATCAATTCAATGTCTGTAATAAACGAACAATCAGTATTGGGTGGCAAAACCTAAACAAAAAAAAACAAATATTAAAACAGAACATAAGCAAGCAGTATACCAAACCGAAATCAAATAAAACCACTTGATCAGGGTTTATTTTCAGGAATTATAGATCAGGAAAAAACAAACACACGAACAATTAGAAACAAAACTATGCATAAATAAATCACTAGGAATCTCTTAACAAAAGTTCTTTGAAATAATGTCCCTTGACATTACAACGAACACTCTTAAGTAATATGTTATTGAATGGATGTATTCATTTCAGGGTATTAAGTCACAGTATAAATATACGACTGGCTGAAAACACTTATATTTAGTTTTTTTTAGGATGATTGTGTTGTAGCGGGATATCTTCGAGATAGCTTCGAATGTCTCGTATCTCACTCGTCCTGATAACCGTTATTACACAACTCCTAACAGTGTATAAATTTCAGAAGACAGTAACAAAGTGTCGACTACAGTTTATTACTGTGCAGTGCAAATCACAAAGCCACAAGGACACAAATTGAATGGGAACAGAACTGAGAATGTGAATGAATACGAGAGAACCAATGCGAGAGAGAACCAGCGAGTGAATTGAGGCAAATGAATTGATGAGATGTGCAAGGCACACATATATCAGAAAGCGAATGAGTAATTGAACGATTTAGGCGTCTAACATTTAAGCTAGTGAGAGGAATGTAAATGTAGTCTGTAACACATGATCAAACACATATGGTCATGCAAACATGATAATCATAATAATAAGATATAGATGAGTTGTTACTGACCGAATGCCACAATCTGTTAAACAAATTGATCGAACAGCTGAACAAAATTAAAATCAGTTTTGTTCCTATTCGCATTGTGTCCTTATGGCTTTGTGATCTGCGCTGCACAATACTAAACTGTAGTCAACACTGTTACTGTCTTCTGAAATTTATACACTGTTAGGAGTTGTGTAATAACGGTTATCAGGACGAGTGAGATGCGAAGATACTACAATACACCACATTAAGAATTTTTGAATATAAAACTTAATGGGAATCTCACGAAATTTTGCGGCTATCACTCATTTCTTGTGAAGAACACTTATTTAATTTTCAATTTCACAAGTCTATAAACATTACAATTAAATAAGTGACTGTTATTTAATAAAGTATAAAATTTTAGAATATAATTGACACAAATGATTAGTGGATTACAAAAAAATCACAAATCAACAAATAATCCTATCTAATAAAGATAGTTCAATAACACTGTACGACTATTTTGCTTACCTGATGATAAGAATTTTCAGGAATTTCATGAAGATGTTGGCGGTAAAGCATATGAAGATTTGGAAGTGATGGAGGTTCACAATGTTGTAAGTAGAATATAACTAACAGAGGTATGACTGTTTCTTCAAATGTACCATTTTCCGGCATATCTAAATGACCCAACTGGGAAAAAAATAGAAAGCAACAAAGTAAGTTAATAAAGTAATGGAAATCGGAAATGATTCAATATAAACCAAGGAATGGAAGTTTTGTGTTCTGTTTTACAAAAAAATAAAACCAAACCAGTGATATGCAATATCTTGAATGATAATATTTTGAAAATGGTAATCACTTCTTAATCAGCTTTAATACAATAAACAAAACTAATGAAAACAGTACTCAAATGAATCCAAGACTGTGAACAGCAGTGAACTAAAACAATAGAAACAGGTCTCTTAGATGACAATGATACTAAGTACTCATTAAGTAGATTTACAATAACAATGAAATCGTTTTATCAGCTCATCTATGTAGAACAGTAGTTGAGTAGTTAAATTTACAAAAAAGAGACCTCGAAATGAAGCTGGTTGACGTAACATAAAGCTGGAAAGAAACAAAACGAAAAACAGAACCATTCTATGGAGCTCCTGACTTTTCCTTTAAGCTTTTTATAAACATCCAGATCAGTTAGATACCTAAAGATGATATAAATCAGATATCTGTTTAGAAATCAATGTTCACAAAGTCAGTCATTTATGTGAAACGTAGAACCTGGCACATGTGAACATCAGCGTAATTTGCCACATCTTATTCGTATAAAGGATAAATTAAGGTTGGAATCCGTTCAGAGACGATTTACACTAAGCATTCTTGGGAATGATCGTACTTTAAATCATAATCCATATATAATTAATACAGAATCGACGCTTTATAGAAAAGCAAACAATTTAATCTTTTTCTTTAAAACACATAATAAACTATATTTTACATCTAATAAATTAAACCAATATACAGAAACTCCTAGAAACAATATCCACAATTATTTGTCATTAGTGAAACAATCTCATTCTAAATCTTCTCTCTATATGAATAACTTTACCAGTAAATTTTCCAAACTCTAGAATAATTTACCACAATTTGTTCATGAGATAAAATCACTCCAAGCTTTTGTGAGCTTAATCCACGATTACTTTTATGCTGGAAATGTTTTTAATGTGCTTACACCTCTAAGTATATCTTGTTCCACAAATGCTATTTATAGGAACTCTAAATATATAATCGTTTTTATCACTAAGCCCACTAATTAAACATTCCTAGCTGCAGATAATTTACACTAACATTGTCCTTGGTAAATTTAACTAGTCTGAATAATATCTAACCCGAACATTAGATCACAAAAATATTGTGATAGATCTGAATAAATGATTGACCTATCGAAGTAATTATTGCTTTCGTTTTTTCCGTGCACCTTGTTTCCGTTTTATTTTCCCTAGCTGTAGATGATTATAATTAATTCGTTATGGTACTAGAAATGATCCTAAATACACCGTTCATACGCTAATAGTTCTCAGCGGATGCTTTTCATTAATGTAACACATGTGAAAAATCCACTGCCTAAACAACTTTTTAACTACAACACTTCAAACAATCGAATATTCTATATGTCCTGTGCATTTACTACTGCTATCTATATTTAGCTGATCATGCCTGTAAACTGGTGTGAATTCTGTAATTATTATTTTCCGAATATATATATCATATTGTATTATTAGCGCAGTGAAATGAAATTGTCAGGGTAAATCCCCAAGTGATAGATGTAGAGACAGTATTGATGGTAATAAACAATATTAGGCACAGAAGATACAAGTCAAGAAGGAAATATGGATTGGTGGAATAAAAAAAATTTTTTTAATCTATACGTAAAATTAGAAACTTAGGATTTGAAGGAAGGCAAACAGTGAATGCACCTACGACACTGTGAAACATTCTGAGCTGTGTCACCCAAAGTTTCCAGCTGTTTGTTAGGATAATCACGCGTACCCTAACCATGGACTTTGCGTCTACACACATGACTCAGCACAACAGTTAGTGTCTTCATAGACTGGTCATATGACATGGTTTGGCCCCCTGTAGCTTTCTTCAAATCTACTCCTATACCAGCCACTACCAGATATTCAGTAATATATCCTGACCATCTCAGTCGATAACGAATCACTACAACATCAATTAACTAGCCATCTTTATCTAGTACCGCATGTCCAACAAAAATATCGCTAACTCAATGGTGGTCAGTCAGTCAGTCAACTTGGTCTCGTGTGCTGTTACGGGCATGAGGGCTGATGTCACTTCCCGGCTGCCCACACCGTGGAAGGGTATTTCTTGAGGAACCTGAAAAGGAAATTGGATTAGTGTTGGCCTGAACGACCTGGAAGCGTGGCCGCAGAACCCAAGGGACAACTGCTTCAGGCCGGTCGCGCACGGCCTTTCTGCGGGACGTTTTCAATGTGTTAGCTCCGTTCTTCAAAGGGCCTTATCGCCGGAGACGGAAATCCGTGAGGTGTGACATTTTTAAGGTCAACCTTTTCTAACCACACCCCTCCTTGTGGGAAGGCAGTATCGCTGCAGATGCTGGTTGTCTGAGGGAAACACCTTACTGCTCTCACACCCCTCTACAGTCAGCAGTACGACTTCGTCCTCAGACCTTGAGTTGCTGCTTTTAGTCTTACCGTTCTCCAATCGACCTGCCTGACATGGTAGAACCTACGGGAACATGTGTTCTAGCCTACATAGCTCGGTTGGGTCGTCACGATACGCTAGCCCGACCACCGCGTCAAGGTAGCAGATACGGTCGGACGATGGTGGTCATAAATGAATTCACTATTTAAAACTATCTAGAATATAAACTCATGCAGTCATTCTATTTACAGCTTATGATAACACCAACAACCGAACGAGCGCAGGCAAACAAGAATAACAATTTTCTCAAAAATTAAGATAACAAATTAAAACTAAAAATATATCGATCACGAAGTAGTAAATGTATTGGTTATGTTATGAACAAAACATTTAAATCGTTACCCTACTCTGTATGAAAGTTAAAACAAAAACAACGCAAAACTTAATTAATTGGTAAGTAAAACTCTCATTCTAGGACGAAACGGCTGTTCAGTGTTTAAAGGTCTTCGATGGTGTTCTAACAATAATCGGTTCATGACTTCAATGAAACTCAACAATCTTCACAACCCACTACTAACAAAATAAAATTATGGTGTGTTTTTACTTTGGCATTCAAGTAATAAATGTGACTCACGGTCGAGTATATGGATTTGTACTAGGTTTTTAAGTGCCTGGAGTGAAAATGTGCATAAAGTATTTCATTATCAAAGCACACTACATTAATAGGTGTCTAACAATTATACAAACATAAATCTGATAATATGTGAACTTAATTTAACAGGTAACCGATATACCCTCTATAAAATACAGATTCATTCATTATAGTTAATGAAATGAACTAAATTTGATGCTGTTTTAAAAAGACTATCGAAATTTACTAGTCATTTAAAGCTTTAAGTCTTTTGATGCATAAATCAAGACACTACACTTTTGGATGACTTACATTTCCATAGGATTCGGTTTCAGTAAAGAGATGAATATTTCATCAGTAAAGACTATAATATAAAATATGAATTCAAAGAGGCTTAAGATAAGCATCGTAGATGAATGCCAATACATGAGGAATCTTAACTTTCTTGCTTCGAAATAACTGCTTCCAACAAAATCCTCAAACCTTACAGATTATCAACCTCATAGGAAACTATTACAATTCAGTAATGACACAAAGAACAAAAAATATTATCCAACTGAAAATAAGTTTATAAACATACCCGTGATAATTTACGAAATAATATTGCTAATTGTCGAGCTTGATCATTTAAATTGAGGTAAGTATTAATCAATTTGGCCAAATCATATCCATACGGATTACCAGTACTAATACGATAACGTACACCATAGAAATCCGTCAGAGAAAGATAAAAGTAGTCACCACTTGTACGCAAAACACTAATGTAAACAAAAAAGTAAGACAAATAATAGTCAGTATCATGATGACTGATTACTAATGTACTAGAGAAACGAAAAATTCGCCATTTAAGCAGAATTCAGTTATTTCATACAATAACTAGTCATCTGTACTACAGGCTAATAATAATGGATTATATGGAGTGCAGGTTGGAGATTACTAGTCGGTCGCCTGTGCTCCACGAGAGGTAACAGGCTTAGGCAAAATGTCATAACATCGAGCGAGTGTTAATGAGTATCAACTACTAACGGCTTAAGCGTAGCAACTGAGTTACACTGTTTATGATCATATTACTATTATTATACGTATTTCTATTCTCACTGTGACCATTACTACTGTGATGCGCACAACATATGCTCATAAATTTAAGTAGTATGTAGCAGCAATCGGAAGTGGAATGCTTGCTAGAGGAATATCGAATTAAAGAGAAGAGGGAGCGAAACAGAGAGCTATCGTAATAACAGAATTGAAAGAATCATGAAGTACGCAAACTACAACTGAAGGAAAATGCGCAAACAATGTATTTGATGTATCATTTTCATATTTTACAAAGGCACTGAGTAATTTCGTATACAACAATAAGTTGGTTTTCACCACATGAGTTCTCGTTCATTGCACTGCTTTATATCAGCCAGAACAAAAAATAACGATTTGTATAATCGTTTTACGATGTAGTCTTAAAGTACTTAAGTCATTAACAGATAGGTCAAGAGATAATAGTTCTATTCAATGAATAGAATAACCTACTACAGCTCAAGGCCTAAATTGGAATTATCTACATGCTAGATAGTAATTCCACAAGAATTTGGCGACAACTGTTTTATCAGTAAATTGATGTCCATTTAACCATCGAAATTACGATGCCATGTGTTCATGAAAGATCAATGACTAAATGTTATTATAAAATGAAGAAAAACATGATAAGCGGTAATGGTTAAATTGTGATAATATTTTGTCCTCTCTAATTAAAAATCTCATGTATATAACCTCAAAGGAAATAAATTACTCGTAAGTGTGATTCCTACACAGTGAACATTATAAAAATGTTTCTATGGCCTTCAATAGAATAAACTGATGAAGAATTTTAAATCCACTTTGTTTTGCAGAAGCTACGGACATTATTCATTGCTCACTTGATACATATCCACAGAAGGCGAGCTCGACTAATCTTCATTTCCCAGAGACCCCAGTTTTCTTCAATCATCTACCGATCACATAATCTTAGTTTCTTATCAACCCAACGGCTTTAAACTCACTAAGTTTCATCCTAATTACATAGTTATCAAGAAAAGCCTGTATAACTTCACTTTGAAATGTATATTTCAGTATTCGCATCCTCCCTTGTGAAATCTTTTGCAAACACCATCAAAGTTTGAGGGTAAATATTAATTCGCGATTGTTATTGCGAATAGCAACACCTATAGAATAGCGTATCGTTTTAAGGTGATATACAACTAACTGATATACAGAAGCAGAAGCTTGACAAAACTTAATAACACGAAAACAGATTAGCAAAAAAATGATTAAACAGCAAAGAAGATTTAGATTCAAATAAAAGGAAGGTTAATCTGCATAGTTATTATTATTAAACAATGTACACATGCCATAGAATTTATCGAAATTGTGATATGTGATCAAAATCACTACATTACCCATGTTCAAATTATTTTCTGCTTATACAACTGCGGTGCTAACTAGGAGATAAACAAACAGGATCTGCCGTCAATTACTTAAAAACATTTGGGTCAATTATGAACTTGTCTTTGTCCTATGATATACAATAGAATAGTCAGACTTTATCTACTTCACTGAATTATCGCAGTTCAACAATAGTAACTTTTTAGGGCTGAACATTCATCATCATCATCATAGATGTGAGCGCATTACCAAACAACTACCTATGAATCTTAATTTATCAGTGAAGAAGCGAACAAATACAAGGTCGTTGATAAAATGAACAAAACAGCTAACATACATGTAATAACAGCACAACAATCGGCAATAATCATTTACACTCTGGGTTAGAAAAAATAGACCATAAAAAAATATCCAGAATGAATATCATATGCCACCTCCTCTCAAAGTTTATGATATCGAAACTACTTAACGCAGTATTTACAAAGTCGACAAAACCATCCTCCTAAACTACAAATCAACATTATTATATTAAGATTATTACTTAATACGGGATTTACCCCATGTGGTAGATACGTTTTTAGCTTTGGTCATTAAAACATGAAAGCACGAAAGAACCACAAGGATAATTATAAAAATGAATAAGACTATCAAAGGGAAAATCGATAATGATAATAAACATACGTATGAAATTTGGGGAAATTAGGTTTGTCGGATAATTCATTCATTTTTGTATTGTGATCAGGAGAACAGTTAAATGAGGTAGCTTTTTCGGAAATTGTTTGTATGTGTGGTGTGTTAGTTGGTGATTCACATGCATTCAGTTGTAATAAATCGAATATATTAGAAAGAACATAACCAATTCCCATTGATTGTTCAGTGTTATTTGTTGACTGACCACATACAGGCTGTGGAATAGACTGATCATTATCATCATCGTCGTCATCATCATCATCATGAACATCATTATCATCGCCCTCTTCGTCACCGTCATTATCTTCACCAGCATCATCTATTGTCGGGTCCATTGCCAGTAATTTATTCTCGTCAAAATCATTTGGACAAATTACATCCAATGAACAGTGACTATCTGGTAAGGCTAAACCAAACCATGAACTACCAGTTCCTCGAACTTTTATATCTAAGGATTGACAGTTTTTAGAGATAAACTAATTAGGATAAACATAAAATTCGAAAGATTGGTTATCTCAGTTAAAACATTATTGGTCACTCATTTTGTATTCTTCTAGAAGTAGGATTATTATTAATTCTTGAGATAGAAACCCAATCACTATCATACTCTTTAAAGTGATCACATTTTTATAATTGAAATGACGAAATGATCTTAGCTAGACTATAACTGAAAACCCGGGAGCGTTAAAAACCTTTTCATCCTATTATGGGACTTCTCAGCAGTACACCTCCACGATCCCGCACACATGGGTCGGGCCTAGGATCTTAGGCCTCGCGTGCGAACACTTAACGTCTAGACGATTGAGCCGTCATCCAATGATGTTAGTGTATAACTTTAATCAATGTATGATTTTGCTCAATCCTTCATCATGTTCTTCCGATCTTAACATACTTTGTATATGATTGAATTTTTATCTTAATACGTTAGTAAGAAATGAGACAATTTGAAAACATAGACTGTTATGAGCTTCCATATATGACTGTTTGTCTGTACCTGAAACAACATGGCTTGATATATGGTATTTTACGTCTCAATTGCTAACCAAGATAAAATCAACTTAAACAGTTGTTGGAAATGAAAACAGATCTATTTAAACATTAGGTGTATTAATTATGGATAGTGGCTAGCAGTGGAATCCAGGACACGCGTTTCGTCCTATTTGGGACTCGTCAGCTGTATATACCTGCATCTCAGGGTTGATGTTCACTTTGGGACTCGAACCCAGTAGCATTCGCTTCAAACGCCATCGCGTTATCCACTCAGCTACTGAGTCCTGATAGCCACTTGCTTGTACAATGGGGTGAATTTAAATTCACTTGGTATTGTTTGGCTTGTATCTTCCCATTGAGGTTTAAGACTGCGATTGATCAGTCTTTTATTGGCATATGTGCATGCCCCCAAATGCCCTGGTATGGCCGAGAGTGGGGTGGCCCCCCTCCCTCTCCAAATGCTCTCACACGGCCACGCGTATACAGCCTCTGCCAGGAAAGTCCTACTCACTGCCTTCTCGTGGCGGGGGTGTTGTTTACGAAAATGAGAGGACGAAAAGCGAATGTCCGGCGCTTTAACCGGATTCCAAACCAATGGTCCACATGGGCTCCAGTATCTTACGGGAACAAATGGCGTATCAACCAATCTTTGGTCACCGGCTTCCATGGGACTGCATCTCCTCACGATGCCCCACTGCCTTGTGGGTTAGACCTTTAGGTCAAAGGCTCGGGGTGTGGCCCCCCAAGAAAACCACCTGCTTCGGTTTGGGCACCCGGGAAGTATCACAGCCCTCACACATATCGAATGAGATTTGTGTGGCGCATATGTATTTGGTGCCTCCTTGTACCAATATCTATGTGTTAAAATAAATAAATATCAGGACTCAGTAGCTGAGTGGATAACGCGATGGCGTTTGAAGCGAATGGTACTGGGTTCGAGTCCCAAAGTGAACATCAACCCTGAGATGCAGGTATATACAGCTGACGAGTCCCAAATAGGACGAAACGCGTGTCCTGGATTCCACTGCTAGCCACTATCCACCACTGCTTACAAAAATCTTGTAAATTAAGGCAGTATCGAGGCGTACGCACAGTATGCACATATGCCAATAACAGACTGATCAATTGCAGTCTTAAACCTCAATGGGAAGATACGAGTCAAGCAATAACAAGTGAATTAGGTGTATTACTTTCACCATATTAAATTTTGACTTAATTTTCACAGTTTTAAAGTTAAACCCATACAAAACAAAAATATTCCACATTACTTGGAATTCGAGCTTCAATAGCAGCAATCAGATCATTTGCGAAATTCTGTCGTCGCTGCATCTCACAGGTATCGGCCACAACAGAAAGAAAAGCGGATTTTAATTCTGAATCTAACGCAGTTCTATGGGAATCCGTGATGGGAGGCAAATAAAGAAGAGTTGTTTTTAGTTCAGCGGTCTAGAAGTCAAGTAAACACAAATTCGAAAATATATGATGAATGTATTATGCAGTTCATCATCTTATTGTTGAAAAAAACTAGAACAGAAATCAGAATGACATCTTCAAATTAAAATTGTTACTAAATTTATTGTTTTACACAAGATTATTATAGTAAAATCTTCAAAGATTAGACGCGTCCAGTTGGTTTGATCTTAAGGTGACTTTATCACAAAGAAAGCAGCTTGTGGATCACAAATAAAGGAAACGTTTCTAGGATAGTGTACCAAGTGCAAACGCAAGTACTTGGGCTTTGAGTTTCATAAGTGAACCTTGATTAGGTGTCTAGAATTCTCTTTATAGTAAATTCATCGATAATATGCGAATGGGTTTTCAGTTTGAAGAAAACCCAACAACGGATTAATTGCTCCTATTACTTCGATTAATAATAATTTTCATATAAAAATTCGCCTCTAGCTCACCGTTACTAATGTTTTATGATAACAACTTACTCCAAGGAAAATGTCATTGCAATCACATTGAATGTGCGTTCGCGGATCTATATGACAACTCCCTGAAAGACTGATTATGTTATGAAGTGATAATACCCCATTGTTTAAGCCGAACTAGGTGGGGCAAAATTAAAACATGGACACGATGGCAAAATTCTTATACCGTTTGTTTCCCAAAATCAAATTCGATTATCAATAACATCAAAAATCAAACAACTACATATAATGGTCTGACTTCTACCTGTTAACTCCACAGTATAAGTTAATAAGATAATCTTAAACGGATGGTGACCATGCATACAAAAGATGTTGCAGTAATATCACGAATAGAACAATGACAGTACTGTAGAAAAACATAAGTCCCAATATTACATATGTTGAGCTGTCTTTTTAACAGTTATGTGTCGTGCTACACATAAAACCCTTGTGATACTTAACTGACTTCTAGGCTGTTAGAACAACAAACTCTCTTGAAACTTTGCAACGAAATTAATTCAGGTACACCATCCAAAGCCTATTAACGCTTACAAAAGAAGTCAATGCTGTGAAAACTTTTAGAAAATGACCCAAAATTACCAATTATTTATGTACTCGACTAACCAGATTGGGAAAAACAAAAATATACTGTTTTGTGGTTTACCTAAGAATCTTAACTGACTAAAAGGTGCTCCATGCACTTTCATTCTACTATAGGTGCTTTATTATTACCATAGACCATAATACTACTGGAGATTTCAAACGGAATTAAGAATAAGTTTGGAACTATGGTCCAGTGTCCGAGAATCAATGATATATAAATGATGGGTTATTTTAATTATCAATGATATATACAACAAACACATAGTTTTAATCTACCGAAACACTAAAGTGTGGACTGACGGAAAATAATCCACAAATCTGTTAGTGCCCTGTCTAAAGATTTGTAGGTAGGAGACATATTACATATATTCACCCGGCTATTAACATCACAGGGAAAAAAACAAAATCAGTTTAAGTCCATGAAACTGCAAAAACAATGAATTTATTCCTTAACCCTTACCATGAGGTTCGCATTATGAGAATTCGAAGAGGTATGGTGAATAGCTGCAGCAACCGTAGACATGACCATTCCACAAACATTGCATAAAAGTCCACATCTCTATGATAAATAAAATGAGAACGTAAAATAAGGAAAAAAGGTCTTACCATTTATATTAACAATTGATATTATTCCATTAGCATTACGATGTTAGATTAGTAAATCCACTTAATTATAATACATTTTATCGCTAATTCAGAATGAGTAGCTCACAATATTCTGTAAACATGATACAAAGTGTGTTATCCAACTAACTAATGTGAAACGATTTAATCAGACCGTGATGTAAAAGTCATATATGAATACATTTGAACAGAAAGTTTCTTTACACTACTACAAATTTTTCATAGAAATTACCCAATAAAATATTTACTCAACATTTAAACGCAAAAATTAATCATTGTGAAAATAATTTCATGATAAACTGAACACAACTTAAAGAATAAGAAATCTAAGAGAGAAACTGTTGGCATGTATTTCATTTCAGTACAAAACTTCCCTTTAGTAACCAAGTCCTTCAGGTATGATGAGGGTTTTCAACGTGGCTACAGTTCATGATGTATATTATTTTCAAATCAATAGGGTCTAAATGGTCATAAAACCTAAATTTGAACAGTTAACCAAAAAAATAGTTTGCAGGCATCACGGCCAAGATTAGACTTGATTTTATCTATTTATTTGTTTATTTGAACAGTCAGTCAGTCAGTCAGTCAGCTACAACGTAGGACCAGGCACATTTATGCATAAGTTCAAGTTGCCATACCTCATCAACACAACAAGATGGACACCGGATTTATAAAAGTAGTCAATTCAGAGGTGGTAATATATAAAGGAAAGATTGCAATAAGGATATAGTACAGCAAGAAAGAATTAGTTCATAGAAAGAAAGATATGAAGTGATTTTAATCTCTTAGTTTAAGGGAAGACAGGGAGTGTATACACCGACGCCATTGTGATCGATTCTGAGCCATGTCACCAAGAGTCTCCAACCATTGGTTACGATAGTCACGCGGACCCCAACCAAGTAGTCTGCATCTACCAACATGGCTCGGACTACAAGTTAGTGACTTCAAGCACTGATGCCACGTTTTGGTTTGGCCGCCCCTAACTTTCTTCCAACCATCTCCAACACCGGTTAGCATTGCACGTCGTGGTAATCGGTGTTCGGGCATACGTAACACGTGGCCCAACCATCTCAGTCGATGAAGATTCACAACCTCATCAACTGATTTACCATCATTACCTAATACCCTGTGTCGAACCTCACTATTACTTACCCGGTGATCCCAGCAGACGCCAGCAATATTTCTGAGGCATCTGTGGTCAAATACTAGTAGCTTACCAGTGTCTTCTACTCTTAACGGCCATGTTTCGCTGCCATAAATTAAAACAGAACAGACTGCTGCGCAGTATACTCGTACTTTTATTGATAGACGGATATCTCGCCTTCGCCATAGGTGACGTAAGTTGGCAAAAGCCGTGCTGAGATTTCGTCCGATACCAACCCATTAGGGCTGATCAGACTTCCAAGATAAGTGAAGTTGTCAACGCGTTCGACTACTTCACTCCCTATCCTTAGTTCAGGTGTTGACGCAGACCAGTCCTGAAGCAACACTTGCATTTAGAGGGAGAGAAGCGCATTCCAAACATTCTGGCATTGTTGCTTAGTGCTACCAAAAGACTGCGTTCTATCAGCGTTTTCACCAAACAGGACTATATCATCTGCGTGTTCTAAGTCGATAAGTGGACCTCCTGGAAGAAGATCAATACCCGAGAATTCAGTAGACGAGAATGTTATTTCCATCAATAATTCTATGATGAAGTTAAACAAAAATCCAGAAAGTGGACAGCCTTGACGGACACCACTTGAGGTTGCAAAAGCAGATGACAGTTCGCCATAAGCTCTGACTCGATTGGTAGTGTTCGAGTAAAGAGCCTTCACAAGGTTTATGTACTTCTGAGGTACGCCTTTCAATGACAGACACTGCCACAGAATGTCACGGTCTATCGAATCAAATGCTGCTTTTAAGTCGAGAAAGACCACCATTGTCAGACGCCGATAAGTATGCCTATGTTCTAGAACCTGACGAATGGTGAATATGTGGTCGATGCAGCCACGACCAGGTCTGAAGCCAGCTTGATTCTCTCGTGTTTGCAGTTCACGAGTCTTAGGCTTCTGATAATTATCGAAGCTAATATTTAAGATACTATATTAGTTAAACTAATCCCTCTATGGTTGTCACAGGATGTGATTTTAACCCTCTCTTATATATTGGGACGATAAGTGATTGTGACCAGTCAGATGGAATAACGTCTAACTCCCAGATCTTATTTGAAATATTAGTCAACCTAATCGCTAAAATTGAACCACTATCCTTAAAGACCGTCTGGACCAGCTGCCCTTCCTCGTTTCAGATTAACTATAGCCTTTTGAATTTCTGCTAGGGTTGAGGAACCTACTTCAATGTTCTATTTACACTGTCTGGGAATGGGGGGTAGTTGTAGAGTAGCTGGAGGCCAGCTGAACTGTTCTCTTAAATGTTCCGCCCATCGTTCTAAACGTCTGGACTGAGAGCAGATGAGGGCGTCGTCTTTTTCCGAAATAGTCTGACTTACACTTGATTTATTAATTCCAGTTTCTTTTATTAGTCTGTAGAGCTGTCTTGTGTTCCCTATAGCCGCCGCCTTTTCCATCTCTTTTGCTTTCGTTGCCCACCACTGCTCACGGTCGTTCCTTAGACTTTTGCCTAACCTAGATCTGATTTGTTTTCGCTCTTCATCGTGTTCAGAGCCTGGTGGGATGAGTTTACGAGAATCCATCAGTGCAATAGACCTTGAGGAAATCCATTGGTTCTTCGTAACCCTGTGGTTTAAATCACTAATAGAATTCATTGCTGTTTCCACAGCTGTTTGTATATCTTTCCAAGCAACATCTCGGTCAGTCTCGTTCTCAGAACTACCTAATTGTGACCTCAGTTGTTCCTGGAACCTACTTTTGGTTTTTTCGCTACTCAACTCAGTTCTAATGGGTCTTTTTAATGTGGCTTTTTTGCGTCCAGTGAGGCGCAAGCAGATGCGTGCCCGTATTAGGGCATGGTCGGAGTCCAAGCAGGTACTCCAGAATGAGCGACAATCTTCTACCGACCCTCTCCAACGATGACTGATGTCAATATAGTCTATTTGAGTCCATCGTTGGTTTGGTGTAGAGGGTCGCCATGTTAGACAATGTCTCTCCTTATGCTTAAAATTTGTGTTTGCTAAAAATAAACGATTGTCTCAGCACAGTTGCAGCAGACGATCACCATTATCTGTTCGTTGTGCCGGAATACTAAAATACCCACCTAAATGCCTTTCTGTTTGGTTTAAACCACCTATCTGGGCATTAAAGTCACCTGCTACGAGCACTATGTCTGAACGTTTAACTTTCTGAAGAAGTTCAGATAGCTTTCTGTAAAATTCATCTTTCATTTCATCTGAGCTGCAGTCGGTGGGAGCGTAGGCAGAAACGACAGAAAGGCAACGACCTGTGTCCCTATCCTTCCGAGTTCTTACGGAGCCGTTTAGCCGAACAGCACATAGACGACTGTTGACGGGGATCCACTCTAACAGTGCTTGTTCCGCCCTCATGCTTAGTGCTATCCCTACTCCTGCCAGTCCACGAGAGCTGGCCCTCGGGTCACCAGATACACTGAGGGTGTATCTCGTTGGCTCTCCGTGTTGCCGAGGTGAGGTCAAGTGAATGACCACACTGGGATCCTGTATGTGTGTTTCAGAGACACAGCATACATTAATGGTACGAGATTCTAGGGTTCTAACCAAGGAAGCCTGTTGACCGATTTGGCATAGGGTGCGCACATTGAAGGCTCCAATGTGTAGTTTGGAGCGAGGTTTCAGTAGACCTGGGACAGTGTTTTGAGCACTAGAATCGTTGGCTATGGTGACATTTGTGGAGTAAGCCGAAAAATGAAGTTTAGAGGTGAAAGTCGATGTAGGAGGAATAATAGGAAGTGAAGACAGAGGTTGGTTATGAATACAGTGGTCTTGAGTGCTGTTAGAGGTATGAGGGCGGTTATCACTTCCCGGTTGCCCACACCGAGGAAGGGTTCTTCTGGAGGTACTTGTAAAGGAAATTGGATTAGAGGTGGTCTTAGTGACCCGGGAGCGTGACAGCAGTGCCCAAGGGACAACTGCTTGAGGTCGGTCACACACGACCTTTTTATGGGTAATTTTTGTGTTAGCTCCGTACTTGTTGAGACCTTACCGCCGGAGACGGATATCCATGGGATAAGGCGAGGTGTGCATTTTTAAGGTCAACCTTTTCTAACCCCACCCCTCCTTGTGGGAAGGCAGCATCGCTGTCATGCTGGTTGTCTGAAGGAAACACCTTACTGCTGTCACATCTCTGTACAGTCAGCAGTACGAATTCGCCTTCGGACCTTGGGTTTGTTGCTTTCAGTCTTACCGCTCTTCAACCGACCTGTCTGACATGGTAGGACCTTGAGGAACGGTTGTTCCAGCCAGTATCGCTCGGTTGCTTCATCACGATAGGCAAGCCCGACCACCACGTCAAGTTAGCAACAACGGTCGGGCACACATAAATACTGGTACAAGGGGGCACCAGATACATATGCGACACACAATAATGATGAAAATGAGAAGAGATAAAGAATGTGGGGGTGTATAAAAAGGAAAAAAGAACAATAACAACAAAAAATTAGTGTGTGCTAGTAAAATAATAATAATAATAATAATAATAATAATAATGGGGAAAACGGAAAGAATTCTTTCAGTCAAAGAAGTTACGGCCACTTCCTATGAAGAAAGAAAAAGGGTACAACAGAACCGCCACTAGCTTCTGTTCTGAATCATGTCTGATAACGTCTCAAGCCACTGTGTCGCACCATCTCTAGGACCCCAACCAGGGAGTCGTGAAGGACCAACACAAGCCAGTCCTGTTTAGCTTTCCTTCATACCACGACACCATGTCATACACTGAGCACCTCTGCTTTTCCCAACCATTCCCAGCGTCGGCAAATAATGCAAGACATGGAATCCTCCGAACGACATTCGTTAAGCATGCCCAAGCCACCGAAGTCAGTGTTTCAAGATGGTGACACCAACTACATTATCGTCAATGTGCCCGAACACACGATGCCACTGGATGTCAGCAATCCTTCAGAGACAACGACGACCAAAGATGGATCAGTCAGTCAGTAAGTAACAACGTAGAACTTCGTACGTATGTACATCAGTTCAAGTTGCCATACCACATTAGCACAGAGATGCAGTTGTCGATTCAAATCCCGTAGTGGTAGAGGTAGTAAGAGTATAAGCAATAATCGGAAAGATTAGGGTTGGAAGATGTTATTTTAGGATTATAATACAGTGAAATAAATTTGGAAAGAGAAAAAAGAGACAAGGAGGGATCAGGAGGTTAAAATTTGGGAGAACACAAAGAGTGGATGCACCTGTGTCACTGCAAACGATTTTGAGCCATATCATTCAGGGTCTCTAACCATCGGTTTCTATCATCTCGTGGTCCCCAACCAGCTAGTCTACACCTACCGACATGACTCAATCCACTTGTCAGTGACTTCATGCATTTGTGCCATGATTTGGTCTGGCCACCCCTAGCTTTCTTCCATCCTACTCCTATACCATTGAACATCGCTCGTCGAGGCAGTCGGTCGTTCGGCATACGTAACACATGTCCCAGCCATCTCAACTGATCAAGTTTCACTACTTCATCAATTGATTTGCCATCTTTACCTAGTACCCGTGTCCTAACAACTGTGTTACTTACTTGGTGGTCCCAGGATATACGAGCAATGTTTCGAAGACACCTATGATCAAATACTAGTAACCTACGAATATCCTCTACTCTTACCGGCAATGTTTCACTGCCATAAAGTAGGACGGAACGAACTGCTGCGCAATAAGCACGTCCTTTGGTTGATAGACGGATATCTCGCCTATGCCATAAATGACACAAGTTGGCAAAAGCTAGTCGAGCCTTCTGTATCCGTGCTGAGATTTCGTCACACACCAGACCACAAGGGCTGATGAGACTCCCAAGGTAACTGATGCGGTCGACACGCTCAATTAATTCGTTCCCAATCATTAGTTCGGGTTTCGATGCAACCCAATCCTGAAGCAACATTTTGCGTTTCGGGGGGGAGAATCGCATCCCGAACATGCTTGCATTGTTGCTTAGAGTGGTCAGAAGACTCTGCATTTTTTCAGCGTCTTCTCCAAACAGAACTATGTTATCGGCATATTCAAAGTCAACAAGTGAACCTCCCGGTAGAAGTTCAACCCCTGGAAATTTAGATGAGGAAAGTGCCATCTCTAAAAGCACGTCAACGACGAAGTTAAACAAGAATGGAGAGAGTGGAAGCCCTGACGAACACCACTTGAGGTAATCAATTCTGATGACAGTTCGCCATAAGCTCTCACTCTGCCAGTCGTGTTCGAGTAGAGAGCCTCTACAAGGTTAATGTACTTCTTTGGTACTTCTTTCGGTGACAAACACTGCCATAGAACCTCACGATCAACAGAGTCAAATGCCGTCTTAAGGTCGGGAAATACTACCATTGTGGGGCGTCTGAATGTGTGTCTGTGTTCTAGAACCTGACGTAGTGCGAATATCTGGTCTATACAGCCACATCCAGGTCGAAAACCGGCCTGGTTTTCTCTAATCTGCTCTTCATGAGCTTTGATTAGGCGTCGAAGTATTATTGAGGCTAATATCCTAGACACTATATTAGTCAAACTGATTCCTCTGTGATTGTCACAAGAGGACTTTTGTCCTTTCTTATAGACTGGCACAATCAGTGATTGAGACCAGTCAGATGGGATTACGTCTAGTTCCCAAATTCTACCTAAGACCTCGGTTAATCTCATTGCTAATACTGGACCACCATCCTTAAAAATCTCAGGATAGTCGTATAACATCTTCAACTCGGAAGCATAGAGCAAAACTGCTCTCACCGACGCGTTGTAGGTCCGAACTTTTACGGCCAGACTAACATCACGAAGGCATCAAAGATGGTCCAGATTGGCATAAGCCGCTCTGGCTTTCACTATACGTGCATTGATCTCATCACTCACGCCACCACCAGCACTTATGCAGCTACCTAGATATACGAACTTCTCGACTACTTCTATCTGATCACCATCCAGGGTGAGTACAGGATTAGAATCCTGCCAGTCTTGTAGAAGTACTTTGCACTTCAAAGGTGCAAAGCACATAACATACCTACGGACACTGATTGCTAACGGATTAAGTGAGAATTGCATGGTTTGGGCATTATCGCACAGTACGACAATATCATCCGCATACTTAAGGTCGAGAAGTCTTTCTCCAGGCAACAGATCCACACCGCCATTACCTACATCCATCAGAGCTGTTTCCAGAATATCATCGATGGCAAAGTTGAAGAGGAATGGCGAGATTGGGCAACCTTGCCTAACCCCACTGCTTGAATGGAACAGTGAAGAGAGGTGGTTGTATGCCCTCACTCTGCCTGAGGTGTTTGCACATAGGGCCTTTAGGATGTTAATAAACTTCTCAGGCACATCCTTCTTCAATAGACAATCCCATAGAACATTCCTATCCAACGCATCGAAGGCAGCCCTGATGTCAAGAAACACTACGATTGTTGGTCTGTGACAAATGTGACGGTGTTCTAACATTTGACGGAGGGTGGACATATAATCAATACATCCTCGACCAGAGTGAAAGCTATTCTCCTCCTCATTAGTCAAACTTTCTCGGGTTTTGAACAACCTACGAAGTACGACAGAAGCCCATAGCTTGGATGCAATCGGAAGTAAGCTTATCTCCCGATAGTTGTTACAGGAACGACGTGAACCCTTTCTAGAGATAGAAACAACTATCGACTCATTCCATGATGTTGGAACACTCTCTAGCTCCCAGACCTTTGTAAACAACGTATTCATTTCCTTAACCAGAAAGTCACCACCATCTTTAAACAGAGCCGGAGGTAAGTCATCTAGGCCTGGTGACTTGTAGCGCTTCAAGAGTTGGAGTTCCTTGCGGACTTCCGCCTCGATTGGTGAATCAGTCGTCACCGGCCATGGAGGGCAGGACAGTCCGGCCGATGTTTCCGGAGCAGCAGGCCAGTTGGACTGCCCTTCGAAGAATTCTGCCGATCGTCCACGATGTCGATGGGTGTTAGTGGTTGGCATACCGCCATCCTCACAGATTGTTTCGCTCACACTAGACTTCTTGCTGCCAGTGGCTCGGATGAGTTGGAAGAGCTTCTGGTGGTTACCAGATACAGCTACTGCTTCCAGCTCATTAGCACGCTCCGATTACCAGGCTCCTTGGTCCTTACGCCGGCTTTGCCCAGTTTCATTACGTAACAGCCTTCATTTGTGGTCAAACTCATGGTCACCCGGAGAAGACCGACGGGTCCCAATGAGTTGTAAGGAGCCTGAATAAGCACAGTGGTTATAAGCGGAACGTTTCGCGAAGCCGCAAGCGACTTTACTCGCCATTTTCATGGCGTCATGCAATTCCAACCAATGCTCATCTATACTTTTCGGTGGGATGTTAGCTAGCCTAGAAGCTAGCCCGGTTCGATAATTAGTTGCGACAGAATACTTCGTTGCAACACAGATACTTACTTGCAACTTGATAGTTTCAAATAAATTGAGCTCTGAGTAGAAAGTTAATCAAAAATATTGTTTTGCTATATCCCACTTCTTCAGAGTGGTTTACATTAAGTCATGAAACGTCGGAAACATAATTTTCTATTCATTGGGATAAAGCAAAAGATATACCTATTTTTAACAAAGAATGATTAGAATAATTATGTTCAATAAAAGCTGTCTATTACGATTGATAATAATATGTCTCAAGGCCCTCTATTACACAACCAACTTACACGTTTCGTTTTAAGAGGTTCTATATGGTTTTTATTCAAGTATTCAAGCTCCTCTGGTGATAGACCTATAATAGTAATAATAATAACAAAGAGGATGAAGCAAAAACATTTACATTTGCAAAGTAATTGTACACCATAAAGAAAATAAGTAGCTTCAGTAAAATTAATCTCTGTTAGACAAAATGGATGGTCTTCAGTGTCACACCTCTGTATAGTGGTTGACTTATCTATCTAAGAGACTAGTATAATGACAATGGAAAAAACATTGTTTTACAAGATCCTTCCCTTTCAGAATGGATATCTGATGGTCAATAGTAGTTCACACAAAGTGAAGAGAAACAGATACATTCAAGGCCTAGACAAAAGTTCACTCACCCTTTGATAGACCATAAAACAATTGCCAACACGTATTCTTAATTTTATTTTTTGGCATTCAATGAGATCGAGAAGTCCCTTAGTAGTCCACCTCACTACGAAAGAATTTTCAAGCGTTTAATCTTCTAGATCCTATATTTAAATAGTCGTCTTGCATGATCTTAAATGACCACAATTTCTAATGCTTTCATGTATATACATATTTCTCTATTATATATGGGATGAATAAACAACTAGAAATAAGAATTTATATACCATAATTGATCTGATTATTCTATACGTTTAAAAGATCGTTTAACGACGTAAAGCAACGGCACAACAAGGAATTAAATTAATTTAGTTTGAATTTTTAAATGACTGTAACTACTTTCCTCTTTCAATAGCGTGTACGAAATCTGATGACATATGCCACATAAGGAACAAATGAAAATTATAATATTTAAAACCAGGATAATAATGGCTTGGGGCTAAATCTTAATGATAAATTCAGAGTAGGTAAGCGGGAACACAATATTTTATGCTCATCGCTATCGGCAAAACACTATAAAAACTACAGAAATCTGTGACATATCAAACAAAAACCACAAACAATAATATCAACTTGAAAACTTGCGAGCATCCATAATCGCATCGCCTTTCAGACTTTGGTCACAACTTGTACCACCTTGTTTTTGATAAAATAAAAGTGATCTGGGAAGTGACGAGCAATAAATACTTGGCCGGAAAACATGTTTTTTGTATCATTTTAATTAGGAAACCATTAGATGAAGATGGTACTAAAACCTATACAAATGTGAAACTTGTCAGCACAAGTGTTGGTTAACTGTATTTTGCTTCAGATAAGTGATGTATTTAGATGCATTAACCTTTACAATCTACTAGCCCATACCAATAGCCCCTTTACTGTAACACGATGCTCATACAAACAAAACACTAATTCACGAATATTTTGTATATTTCTTGACAAAATTACCTGATAAAAATTCACGCTGATCTACTAAGTTTGATTAACACAAGATTTTTTCGAAATGACGGGGAAAAACTAAAGAAAAATGGCGATTTCTTTAGAACAGTTGCGGTTAATATTACAGCATCAGCAGAAGTTGTTAGCCTTGCAACAACAACTATTGATCACACTTTTCACTCGACCAGAAAATAAGAAATCTGTTTATGATGCAGTAACAGACATTTCAGAAGCATATCTAGTGGAGGGTTCAAATCCCTTTATACCTGAATCAGAACGTAATATTTGTAACGTGTCCGGCTCACAGCAAGAAAATACTGTGCTGAATGCTCATAAAGTTGTGGCAATACGAGATGATCAAGAGCCAGACCCTGTAGATGAAGCCCGGAGTCCAGAATTGAATGAAACACTACTGGTCCTGTCTAGCTCCGAAAATAAATTTCAGCTAGAACAAAATTATGGTCCACGTGATATTAGCCGAAAAAGCTATGAGGACTCGTATTCAGAAAATAACTGCAGTGACACGATGAACCCAAATATACTGAATGTTACTCAAAATCATTGTGATAGAAATTTACATTGAATCAGCTTATCCGATTTCTAATGACAATCTATCAGATATGGGTTCTCAGAATAATGCATGTAATTTTGATGAAATTTCTTATAAAAATGAGGAAAATATGTCGGCTGAGTCAAATTATGATCAAAAGTCTAATTTAATTTTGTTAAATGTTGATTTCCGTAATGATCCATTATTCACTGATGAAATTCCTAATGGATTTGAAAGTAATGCTTCAGAAGAATTAAACTCTAACCTCAAATCAAAGGTCGTTCATTATCATCTAGTCATTTCTAGTGGATCCGACATTCAATGTGAGAAACATCGTTTAAATAAAGTCCTATTATTTGTAATTTGGAGACATAAGGACCCAACATTATTTCGCGGAGGAGGAGAATGTTGGAGAATTAAAATTTATGCATACTTTTATTTTTAAAAAAATAAAAACGCCGGGAACAGACATGTCAGTCTCTGTGCGAGAAAAAAAGTGATAATTCTTTATTGCCTAGACGATGAACTAATCGGAAGCACAAGCCAGTCACTCAGTTGCAGTTGGACCCTAGCACCAGATCCTACGAATCTGCTCAGAGGGGAGGTGTTAGCGGGACATAGACTAGATTAAAGCATGCTCAATGCATGATTGCTTTGGTGCACGCTGATTGGCTAATTCTTATCCAATCAGCACTAGTCGATAGTTGGAGAATACTCTGGAATCTTCTTATGTAAAAACTATAAATATACTGACGTTTTCCCTATTGTGCTTCTGACTTGTATCTTGCCTCCATCTAACCTTGTTATTTGGAATATAATCTCTTTCCTGTTCAACCGTGTTCTGATTTGGGGTCTTGTCGAGTGAATCGGTGTCCAAGAATACTAAGCAATAGGAATAGCTGGGTCATAACCGTAAGAAGAAAGAGATTATAACAGTAAGGATGGCAAATCAGTCGATGAAGTAGTGAAACTTGATCAGTTGAGATGGCTGGGACATGTGTTACGTATGCCCAATCATCGAATGCCCTGACGTGTGATGTTTTCTGGTGTAAGAGTAGGTTGGAAGAAAGCTAGGGGTGGCCAGACCAAATCATGGCACAAATGCATGAAGTCACTGACAAGTGGATTGAGTCATGTCGGTAGGTGTAGACTAGCTGGTTGGGGACCACGAGATGATAGAAACCGATGGTTAGAGACCCTGAATGATATGGCTCAAAATCGTTTGCAGTGACACAGGTGCATCCACTCTTTGTGTTCTCCCAAATTTTAACCTCCTGATCCCTCCTTGTCTCTTTTTTCTCTTTCCAAATTTATTTCACTGTATTATAATCCTAAAATAACATCTTCCAACCCTAATCTTTCCGATTATTGCTTATACTCTTACTACCTCTACCACTACGGGATTTGAATCGACAACTGCATCTCTGTGCTAATGTGGTATGGCAACTTGAACTGATGTACATACGTACGAAGTTCTACGTTGTTACTGACTGACTGACTGTGCTCAAACGCACGATGTTGAACCACTGTATTACTAACATGATGTTGCCACTGGATGTCAGCAATCCTTCGGAGACAACGACGATCAAACACAGTCGTATGCCATCCTCAACTCAAAGAGACCAGGTTTCACAAGCATAGAGCAAAACTGCTCTCACCGACGCGTTGTAGGTCCGAACTTTTACGGCCAGACTAACATCACGAAGGCATCAAAGATGGTCCAGATTGGCATAAGCCGCTCTGGCTTTCACTATACGTGCATTGATCTCATCACTCACGCCACCACCAGCACTTATGCAGCTACCTAGATATACGAACTTCTCGACTACTTCTATCTGATCACCATCCAGGGTGAGTACAGGATTAGAATCCTGCCAGTCTTGTAGAAGTACTTTGCACTTCAAAGGTGCAAAGCACATAACATACCTACGGACACTGATTGCTAACGGATTAAGTGAGAATTGCATGGTTTGGGCATTATCGCACAGTACGACAATATCATCCGCATACTTAAGGTCGAGAAGTCTTTCTCCAGGCAACAGATCCACACCGCCATTACCTACATCCATCAGAGCTGTTTCCAGAATATCATCGATGGCAAAGTTGAAGAGGAATGGCGAGATTGGGCAACCTTGCCTAACCCCACTGCTTGAATGGAACAGTGAAGAGAGGTGGTTGTATGCCCTCACTCTGCCTGAGGTGTTTGCACATAGGGCCTTTAGGATGTTAATAAACTTCTCAGGCACATCCTTCTTCAATAGACAATCCCATAGAACATTCCTATCCAACGCATCGAAGGCAGCCCTGATGTCAAGAAACACTACGATTGTTGGTCTGTGACAAGTGTGACGGTGTCCAAAACGAGAGGCAGTCTTGTACAAAACCATACCATTAGGGTTTTACAATTCCCCTAAGTGGATCCTCTGTATCCACTAACTCGGTTAGAGCGTCCGACATTCGCGTTTTGTTTTCTCGATTTCATAAACATCAGCCATGCCTCGAGAAGGCAGTGAGTATGACTTCGATGTCACTGGCTGTATACACGTGTCCACGTGAGAGTAATTTGGGAGAGCTCTTTCTCCCCACAGTCGACCGTACTAGGGTATTTGGGGGCTGTAGATCAGTGGTGTCTGATAAACGATGTGCAAATGGCGTGATTAATATATTCATATATGTGAATTCTCTGTAAAAAACGCTATGTGATTAAATATTATTACATGAAAGACATCGAAGATAAAAGATGAAAATTACCATCCATATGTGCTTCTTTATTTTTCTTATTTCTAGTATTGGTACCCATAGTAATTTAAAACCTGAAAGTTTGATAAAAAGATTAAAGCGGTAGGATATGTGATCCCAAAAAGAAGGATAGCTGAAAATGCAAATGATATAGAGAACAGGATCTACTACTTTCAAATCGTTAAAAGACATCATGAGTATTAAGATTTTGGATTTACTACATGAAATTGATTTGTTGAAAGTAAAAGTAATAAGTAGTAATACTTCGTTAACTAGTTATGGTATGAAGTTAGTTTCATATCTGTTATCTTCAGTTACCGATGATACAGTATACCCAATACATTATAATTTCAATACCAGTCAAGCCAGAGAAGACAAACGGTGTGCGTGGTTTAGCAATACTCTGCTCTTATCTGCCCATGAAGATTAACTCAAAAAGTAGTGGTTAAACGATCGCCGAGGAAATATCACTGGTCAAACTGCTGTAGAGGCGCTTATCGTTTGCACGGAATGTAGTACTATTTCACAACCCTTTTTTAATGTTATTCAATAGTTTTGGCCTTAGATTTTTCGTCCTTTATCTTATCTTACAAATATTGCTGAAACCACTCTCATTACTTCGCTCTCCTTTTCTATGATGTATTGTACCATGCCCAAAATAATCACAGTTCATCGCTGGAGACCCAATATCACGCATTTCAAAATCGATCACAATGCAATAGATACAATATTTCTTTTTCTCCTTCAATATACTATTACTCTAACTTTAATTGCAAAGTTTAGCCGAGTCATTTTAAATCATTCGCTTTGTTGGTCAACTGCCGATGGTATTTCATTTTCGCCCCCGTAACTCTCTTTTCCCTATGTAATTGGAAAAGTGGCAACTTGGTATACAATTGCTCCAGGTAGCATATCATAGGTCTGTGACCGAATGTCGAAGGTAGGTACTGTCGATTGAGAGTTGACGACATAATTCGTTTTCTACATCATTGAAAAGAGAAATGGAGCCCTCTCTGTTGGAACGGGAACTAATATACTAGGCAAGAACAAATGTGTTGCAGGAAGAAACAGATCCTACGTACAGTTCGAAAATTACACAGAGAATACCAGTTTACTTCGATGATATTTAAGCAAGTTAAAACGAGCACTCAATTAATTCACGAACCTACAATGAACAGATGAGCTTTTTGAAGATGCACACCAAGAGGACATATTCGAAGTACTAACTACTTGTGGTGTAAAAAAAGGTTAACGGGACGGTATGGCATACGCCACAGGTGGTTCCTGGCTACTTGACCAGGATAGTTAAATCGTCCCTTAATGTCGAGCCTATCATTTTTCGATGTCGTCATCTATATATACTACAGATCCCATGTGTCATTTACCAAATTATCGACCAACAAGTCTCCTAGATGTTGCTACCAAGTTTAATACTAGGCTAGCACCAACTGCAAATCTGCGAATTAATTCACCTCCAACCCCTTCCCAAGTGTTGAACATGTAAAACGCATAGCAACGGGAGCGTTTTTATATCAGATAGTGGTTTACTTGACTTGGGAAATTTTCGTCACATTTTGTAACCCAATAGTTTCAGAATTGTATCTAAATAAATTGCAAACTACGTTTCAGTGGCGGTTATAATGATTAGGTTTATTTCGTTTACCAAAGCCCCTAATTTATGGATCCTAATTTCGAAGTTATATGAATCTGATTTTTAAAGAACTCCGAGAGGAGAGCTGATTATCCGGGAAAATGACAGCTGTTGGTTTATTAGTTAGGGAGATTAAACAGAAGCCAACACTGTCTACTAAGACTACATATCGCTGAGTAGAACCAAGGTCTCGAGCAATATTCCAAATCTGAAGACCATATGGGACTTATCATTATGGTATAATGATCGGTGCCGATAACCATATGGAGCGAAAACACACACCGATTGAGAATGTAGATTTATACCAGGTTAATTGAAAAACTTAAACTACAAATCAGAAAAATGATTAAAAACGATGGAAATACATACAAGGAAAGTTCCGGCCCCAAACTACTGCACCGCCAAATCTGTTGCCGAAATTAACCTTGAACTCTCATTTCCTATTGGCCAATGAGTACATTACTAGGTAAAGCAAGTAACTAGTCCCTAAAAGATATTAAAAATACACTTGTATGATGATTTTAAGAGACTCATTAGTTTTGTAAGGTTTATAATTTGTTCTTAGGATCTTAAAGAAGACTATCCACTCAACAAGACATCTGCCGAGCTGATTCTAGAGATCACCAGAACTCCCAACTTCGAGGTCTTTTCAGTCACGGAAAAACTCCAAACAACGCGAAATGAAGTTATGGAGCTCTGTCAAACCCAAACCGTAGACGCTTCCGAACTCCTCGTAGGAGTTCTTCACGAAAACAATCTGTCTCTATATGACGAGAGACAGATAACCCGACGAACAAAGCTGTCTTTTATACGCCACTGGTGTGATGACGAAAGTTCACTACCTGATCAACATTGACACAGACGTTAGCGTTCTTCTCACCAATTCTGACGACCAACTGCAGGAAGTAGTTTTAAACTTACATGCGGCAAATAGGGAATCGATCGCCACATATGGTGAGCGATAGGCTTGTAGTGACTCACGTTTATCACGAGAACACGACTGGTTTAATAAAAACAATTATTATTATAACCAACTGTACCAGTGTTTGTTTTAACGTGCTTTTGTTTGACTGTGCTAATGACAGCTATTTTGTGCTTCCATTCTTATACTTACACTTCGATTGTAACTTCGCGCGAATTCGGTTACGTTCTGTAACCAAGGTTGTATCCTGGCACGATCTCGGTATCCTTTCGATGCCACGAGATCGCCAGCTAATAAACCTCGACTTGGTCCATTAATTGCCTTCTGGTATTCGGCTTCTCGGGGATTTTATGGAGTCATTTGGAACGAGCTTCTTACGCCTTCTGATTTATCTGGCACCTGTTACTTGGTAGCGGTGTTCACAGTTGATCTCAACTCCACGCCACGCTACAGGCTTATCCCAACGTAGGTTTACGCAAACCCATCCACTGGATCTTCGTTCTTACAGATGTTTCCATGCTAATCATTAACATATACCTGCTACAACACCATAATCTACCTATCGACACGCCCAAACGGAGGTCTGTAGACGAAAATACTAGTTTATCTGTTTGTGTAACTCATCTTTCCGGTTGTAGATTATCCCCAGCCACAGTAAAACACACGATAAATCCATACTATCAAAAGTACCTGATAGGTACCAGTCAAGCCAGAGAAGACAAACGGTGTGCGTGGTTTAGCAATACTCTGCTCTTATCTGCCCATGAAGATTAACTCAAAAAGTAGTGGTTAAACGATCGCCGAGGAAATATCACTGGTCAAACTGCTGTAGAGGCGCTTATCGTTTGCACGGAATGTAGTACTATTTCACAACCCTTTTTTTAATGTTATTCAATAGTTTTGGCCTTAGATTTTTCGTCCTTTATTTTATCTTACAAATATTGCTGAAACCACTCTCATTACTTCGCTCTCCTTTTCTATGATGTATTGTACCATGCCCAAAATAATCACAGTTCATCGCTGGAGACCCAATATCACGCATTTCAAAATCGATCACAATGCAATAGATACAATATTTCTTTTTCTCCTTCAATATACTATTACTCTAACTTGAATTGCAAAGTTTAGCCGAGTCATTTTAAATCATTCGCTTTGTTGGTCAACTGCCGATGGTATTTCATTTTCGCCCCCGTAACTCTCTTTTCCCTATGTAATTGGAAAAGTGGCAACTTGGTATACAATTGCTCCAGGTAGCATATCATAGGTCTGTGACCGAATGTCAAAGGTAGGTACTGTCGATTGAGAGTTGACGACATAATTCGTTTTCTACATCATTGAAAAGAGAAATGGAGCCCTCTCTGTTGGAACGGGAACTAATATACTAGGCAAGAACAAATGTGTTGCAGGAAGAAACAGATCCTACGTACAGTTCGAAAATTACACAGAGAATACCAGTTTACTTCGATGATATTTAAGCAAGTTAAAACGAGCACTCAATTAATTCACGAACCTACAATGAACAGATGAGCTTTTTGAAGATGCACACCAAGAGGACATATTCGAAGTACTAACTACTTGTGGTGTAAAAAAAGGTTAACGGGACGGTATGGCATACGCCACAGGTGGTTCCTGGCTACTTGACCAGGATAGTTAAATCGTCCCTTAATGTCGAGCCTATCATTTTTCGATGTCGTCATCTATATATACTACAGATCCCATGTGTCATTTACCAAATTATCGACCAACAAGTCTCCTAGATGTTGCTACCAAGTTTAATACTAGGCTAGCACCAACTGCAAATCTGCGAATTAATTCACCTCCAACCCCTTCCCAAGTGTTGAACATGTAAAACGCATAGCAACGGGAGCGTTTTTATATCAGATAGTGGTTTACTTGACTTGGGAAATTTTCGTCACATTTTGTAACCCAATAGTTTCAGAATTGTATCTAAATAAATTGCAAACTACGTTTCAGTGGCGGTTATAATGATTAGGTTTATTTCGTTTACCAAAGCCCCTAATTTATGGATCCTAATTTCGAAGTTATATGAATCTGATTTTTAAAGAACTCCGAGAGGAGAGCTGATTATCCGGGAAAATGACAGCTGTTGGTTTATTAGTTAGGGAGATTAAACAGAAGCCAACACTGTCTACTAAGACTACATATCGCTGAGTAGAACCAAGGTCTCGAGCAATATTCCAAATCTGAAGACCATATGGGACTTATCATTATGGTATAATGATCGGTGCCGATAACCATATGGAGCGAAAACACACACCGATTGAGAATGTAGATTTATACCAGGTTAATTGAAAAACTTAAACTACAAATCAGAAAAATGATTAAAAACGATGGAAATACATACAAGGAAAGTTCCGGCCCCAAACTACTGCACCGCCAAATCTGTTGCCAAAATTAACCTTGAACTCTCATTTCCTATTGGCCAATGAGTACATTACTAGGTAAAGCAAGTAACTAGTCCCTAAAAGATATTAAAAATACACTTGTATGATGATTTTAAGAGACTCATTAGTTTTGTAAGGTTTATAATTTGTTCTTAGGATCTTAAAGAAGACTATCCACTCAACAAGACATCTGCCGAGCTGATTCTAGAGATCACCAGAACTCCCAACTTCGAGGTCTTTTCAGTCACGGAAAAACTCCAAACAACGCGAAATGAAGTTATGGAGCTCTGTCAAACCCAAACCGTAGACGCTTCCGAACTCCTCGTAGGAGTTCTTCACGAAAACAATCTGTCTCTATATGACGAGAGACAGATAACCCGACGAACAAAGCTGTCTTTTATACGCCACTGGTGTGATGACGAAAGTTCACTACCTGATCAACATTGACACAGACGTTAGCGTTCTTCTCACCAATTCTGACGACCAACTGCAGGAAGTAGTTTTAAACTTACATGCGGCAAATAGGGAATCGATCGCCACATATGGTAAGCGGTAGGCTTGTAGTGACTCACGTTTATCACGAGAACACGACTGGTTTAATAAAAACAATTATTATTATAACCAACTGTACCAGTGTTTGTTTTAACGTGCTTTTGTTTGACTGTGCTAATGACAGCTATTTTGTGCTTCCATTCTTATACTTACACTTCGATTGTAACTTCGCGCGAATTCGGTTACGTTCTGTAACCAAGGTTGTATCCTGGCACGATCTCGGTATCCTTTCGATGCCACGAGATCGCCAGCTAATAAACCTTGACTTGGTCCATTAATTGCCTTCTGGTATTCGGCTTCTCGGGGATTTTATGGAGTCATTTGGAACGAGCTTCTTACGCCTTCTGATTTATCTGGCACCTGTTACTTGGTAGCGGTGTTCACAGTTGATCTCAACTCCACGCCACGCTACAGGCTTATCCCAACGTAGGTTTACGCAAACCCATCCACTAGATCTTCGTTCTTACAGATGTTTCCATGCTAATCATTAACATATACCTGCTACAACACCATAATCTACCTATCGACACGCGCAAACGGAGGTCTGTAGACGAAAATACTAGTTTATCTGTTTGTGTAACTCATCTTTCCGGTTGTAGATTATCCCCAGCCACAGTAAAACACACGATAAATCCATACTATCAAAAGTACCTGATAGGTACCCTGAGATTTACTAGACGCGACCGAAATTACCATGTGTAACTGGCAATGTTGCATATCACATCACAACTACAGGACCACCTGCGTTCACGAAAGCGCGCAGACTAGCTCCCGGGAAGCTTAGGTTGCTTGAAAACGAATTTGATCACATGATAGATTTATAAAACAGCTCATGCGCACCTCTCTTGCAAATGGTGCCTAAAAAGGAGAACAATGATTAGCGTCCAGCTGGTGACTATGGGTGACTGAAAGCAAAAACCATTCCCGATCGTTACCCGTTGACCCACATTCACGATTTGTCAGCTACCTTTAAAAATGCAGCTGTCTTTTCAAAAGTCGACTTTGTTAAAACTTATAACCGAATTCCCATGGCCACTGACGACATTCCAAAAACCGGTCTCTACAAATTTCGCGCATGCGTTTTGGCCTAAGAAATGCTGCCCAGACATTCCAAATGTTCATAGATGCTATTTTATAGGTCTCAACTTCGTGCATGCGTATGTTGATGACTGCTTGATAGCAAGTCCGGACAGGGACTCGCATCCTCAGCATCTGGACCTTGTTTTCGAACGACTGCAAAAGCATGGCATTACTGTAAACATTCAGAAATGCCAAATCGGAACTGACTCCTTAGATTTCCTAGGACACACCATTGATGCTCAAGGCATCCGACCTCTAAAAAGCAAAGTGACGGCCATTATGAACTATCTAGAACCGACTACCATCAAGCAATTACGCACATTTAACTGCCTTGTAAGTTTCTATAAACGGTTCATACTAAATTGCGCGTCACTTATGAAACCATTAACCGACCACCTTTTTGGAGATGCGAAATCTATCAGTTTGGACGATGTCGAAAAAAAAGCATTCTTCACAGTCAAGGAAATTACTGTCAAAGCAACAGTACTCGCGT